TGAGCCCTGTGCTATGTCAGTGGAAGTTTGGGGATCATAGAGAACACATGCCTCAACACATTGCACTTGAGCCTTACAGCCTCTTATTAATAGTAAGACAGACTCAGTGCATATCCAACTTATAATTAAGAAAATGCAAATTCAGTGAGATGAAGTACTGACCAGACATTACAAAATGTCAGGAATGGAAATCAAACCTCATTCTTTTGGCTCTAAATTCATTATGCTTATTTTAAACCTCATGACCACCAATTCTAAAAGTCCCTACCTCCTCTATAGTTCAATCACACTTTTCCATAGGCAGGAAGAGTGTTCCATTACAAAGGTGTCTGTACTCCTTCCTCTCATGATATATTAGCATAGAGTAAACTTGTTCAAGAAACATGTATTGATCGCTTGTATTTGGCATCCAGGAAAAGCAAGCTAGCAAACATAAAAAATAATCCCTGCTCTTGCCCAGGCAGGTGTGGCTTAGTTGGTTGGAGCATCATCCCATATACCAAAAGGTTACTGGTTCGATTTCTGGTCAGGAACGTATAAACCCAGGTTGCAGATTTGATTCTGGTTGGAGCAGTACAGGAGGCAGCTGATCAATGTCTCTTTCTCTCTCTCTCTTTTTTACTTCCTTTCTCTAAAATCAATAAAAAGCATGTCCTTAGGTGAAGATTAAAAAACAAAAACAAAAAACACACAACTCTGCCCCCATGAAGCTTGCTCTCTAATGGAAGGAGGCAAGTAATAAAATAAAAAAGTAGAGTGTATTACATGGTAGATGTGGTGGGTGCAATGGAGAAAAATGAAGCCACAGAAGGCGAGAGTGTTTGCTGGTGAGGCGGTTTATGGGACTATCTGAAACACACACACACACACACACACACACACACACACACACACACATTCCAGGCAGAAAGACAAGAGTCAGTGGCAAAACCCTGTGATGGAAGCATGTCTGTGTGGAGGTGAGATAGCAAGGAGGCTAGAGCGGTTAGCAGAGCAAGAAAGAATATTTCTGAGAGTGTGAGGGCGTCCAATCATGTAGACACTGAGAGCCAGTGTAAACACTTCGGCTTCTACTCTAATAAGATGAGAAAAACTTGGAAATTTATGTAGAAGAATTTTTTGTCTTGAATTCTATTTTAAAACAGGATTAAAATAGATTATAAAGGGGAGAAAGCAGAAGCAGGAGATTAATTAGAAAGCTAGAGCAACAATCTAGGAGAAAAAATAATGATGCTTTAGACCAGGTGGTAGGATTGGGAGTAGGAGTTGGAGTCTGAGTGTATTGTCAGATCAAACACCATATATTGACAAGTAGGATGTGGGATGAGTCACAGGATGAATAATTGAGACAGAGAAGGCATTGGCAGGAAGCCTGAGAAAAGTCAGCCTTGTTTCTCACATTTGCAAAAATGGGCTTAAATGCCTTCCCAACCTGACAAGGCTCAAATGAATATGTAAATAGTTGGCTTGCTTAAAATCTAGTAATAGCTCTGAATGACTATGTGCAAGTAACCTGAGCAACTGTAGTGGAGAGACTGAGGTCAAATCTGGAATGTTTTGAGAAACAACATTACAGTTGTGAGGGATTAACTTAGGAAGTTTTATTTTTAAAAAGTAAGATCTCTTTCCTGGTAAGTTAAGAATAACAATAGAGGAAAGTTGGTCCAAGAAAAAACTATTTTATCCAAAGACAAACGAATCCCAGTTGTGACATGGATTTCATAATCTTTGAACCTGTGTATATGAAATGTTTCCTACTTGGTAATTAATACATTATTTTACCTCCTCCCCCTTGGAAATCTTCACTTCCAGTTTTAATTTTATTTAAGCACGAAAGATTTATTTTCCCCCCCTCTGTTTCTGAATAGGCTTACCACCAATCTGGAATTTTTCTGAATTTTTTCAAATAAGACAATTATGTGATTAAGTTATTATTCTAAGTGACTCAAATAATTACAATTTCCCCAATCTGGCTTAAAATATACAAAGCTTAAGCCGCTTCTCTCCAATTCAGAAATTCAGAAAAAGCACTATAAGATAAGAAGGGAGGATGTGGTGAGCCTGACCCAGGAATGAGAGAACAAGAGCCAGAGGGCAAGATTGGTGCTCCACAAACATTCGGGGTCTGCCAGCTCTAAGTCATCCCTTCCTCCTCCTTTCTCCCTTCTCTTTGACCCTCCCAAGTTCTGTCCATCAAAACTTACCTATCCTAAATCCAAACCTCTCAATATCCTTCAAGGTAACTAATAACCCATTTAATAAACCAATTTAATTTCAATTATTAGTGATTGAAAAAGGCTTAGTCCTACCACCTTAGGCAGTTTAAGAGGAATTCTCAGAAAAGTCATGGCTGGAATGTTTAGGCACTTCAAAGACAGCTGTTTAGTAAGGAGTTCTTCCTTTACAAAAGACTCAAAATCTCATAAGGTGGTCTTCTTTGCCTATATTTTAAGTGAGCAGAGTTCAGTATTTTTTTAAATAAATGATTAGATCTTTATTAAGAAGAATAAAGATCTGGGAGAGAGTGAGACCTGCCCAGTCTAAGCAGACCTTTGTAGAGGTCTTAGGGGAATAGTGAGGAGCTGGAGAAAGGGGTATCTGACTGAGGAAGGCCCCCAACAGTGGGAGGACTCAGGATCCTAAGAACAATCTTCAGAGCCACTGTCTTCTCCACGGTGCTCCCTTTGTGTATGACCTGGCAGCTGTAGCTGTGGCTAGATTTCCACTTGTCAAATGTCAGGCTCAGGTAGCTGCTGGATGTGTACTTGTTGCTTTGTTTCAAGAGCTTGTTGGTCTCCACATTCTGGTGTCGGGGTTGCCATTTGCCTTCCAGGCCACTGACACCCTGCTGGGATGCAAGTCACCGATGGGAACACAGTGGTCAAGGTTGCAGACTTGGGCTGACCCAGGACCAGGAGCTGGGTCCTGCAGCCAAAGACATACCACCGTGACTGAGGCTCTGACTAAAACCCGCCAGGCCAGTACAGTCTAGAACAAGAACCTACTGTCCCTAGACTCTAAGGGCTACCTCCTTCCCAGGTTTGGATGGCTGTGGCCCCACAGAGCAGCATCAGCTGCCAGTGCTGCTAGGGCCACAGCTGTGATTCCCTGAGTCCTCATTTGGCCTGCCCTGGGCCTCATCTACCTTCATGGTCAAAGGCACTTCTGGCCTGACCTTCAGCATAAACTCTCTTAGGGTGTGGGTACTATTGGTAGGCAACCCCGGCCCTCACAGGCAGCAGCCATCCAAGTATTCCTTGGTCTGAATCGCCCCATCTCCTGTCTGGGCCTTCTCTGGTGTCTGCCAGGTACTAGGACTCTCCAGGGTTGTTATTCCTGGGGATATTCTTTTGTGTCATCTGCCAACTGTCCTGCTGGTTGGGATCCAGAACTCAACAATGTCCCACCATAAACCCTGCTGGCCCTGTCTCTAGGATGCTGGGGTAGGGGGTGGGGGGGAGGGAGGCACACACCTGCTTCTGCCATCCTTCTCTGGTTCTGCAACAGTGCCTCTGGCTTATAGAGCATCTCCCTAGGGCCTGGAGGGGCTGTGGAGGGCAACTGAGTGCCTAATGGACAAGGAATTGAGTTCCTTGGGGGTAGGCTAGGGTTTCTTCTCTGATCAGGCCCTCAGGCTGGGCCCCTGCACACTCTGCTTCTGCCAGTAAAGCTCAGCCCTTCCTTGGTTAATTTAATCAAGCCTAGTAGGTTTGGTCAACTCTTCACTTGGCTTCTCACTTAGGCAAGGGTCCTGCAGGGAGTGATCTGTAACCCTCACTCAAGGAGTAATGTCAAGCTCATGGATGTTGAAACCACCAGGCCCTAGGTTTCCTCTGGGCAACAGTTTCCTTAGCCATGAAATGGGGAGTTGCCTTTGCAGCAAGGAGGGCTTGAGGATAATTGAGATCATGTGTCTGCTAAGTGCCAGCACATAGCAGGGCTTGAACAAATGCTGGTTCTCTGCCTTCCTGCTCTTCCTTTGGGCTTTGAAACAACTCTTATTGTGTTGTTGAACCAAGTATCCCTGTTTCACGGGTGAGAAAACGAAGGCCCATAGAAGCTGAATGTGAGACTCAAGGTGGTTTCAAGATGCAGGAAGCAGGGTGAGTTGGAATCTAAGAGTGAGCATTTTCCCTGCAATTCTAGCCCTCTACCCACTGGAAGGCTTGAGCTTTGCTACCAAGGTTTGGGTTCTGTTGGGCAGGGGAGCAGGGGGAATGGGTTGCACAGAAGCTTTGGATTGAAGTCCATTTTGAAGCCCATATACATATGATATGAGAGTGATGAGCAGTCTTCAGTATTGTGCATGAGACCTATTCAGGAGGTTCATAAAGTCAGAAGTATGTCACAATCACACCAACACATTATTTTGCCTTTTTCACTCTCATTCTCTCACGAGTGTGCTGTGGAGTTTCCCAGAAACTACATGAAGTGTGATGCTGACATCACTCTGACAACTAATAGAATGTGGGCTTGTACACTTTTCTTTCTAAAATGTATGTTTTAATTTCATATATGGAAAATATCAACAGATATAATTCACTTTACAAGAAAACTCTTTGAGAGTATTCAATGATGTCTTTAAGCATGGAAAGGGGTCTTAAGACCTAAATATTTGAGAATTGCCGCTTTAAGTTATCCTTCCTTATCTGGCAGCTGACATATCAGAAGTATTACAAAACCAAAAACTAAGTGGTAATTCCTACTAAATTTAAAACTGTGTGAGGTTATCAGTTTGCAAATGTTGGTATTTAAAAAGCAAAACAGGAAGTACACATATAAGGATGTACTCCAAAACTGACCGGGTCATATCTAAAGGACACAGGCAACAACTTGAAAGAGCCTCCATTGACCAGATCAGGGACATCTATCCACAGCATCTTTAAGGGGTGAGAGGTAGAGGGGAGTAGAAGGTTTCACACATAGAGGAAAACTACAAGGTTTATCATTAATGTCTACATTTCCCACAGTTTCCAAGACAATATCATAAACAAAATATGTAGAGTTCACACTTTTAATTCTTCGGTATCTTATATAAAAGTAAGAAATAACACAGAATTAAATAACATCTCAATAGCTTACTAAAAATATAAATACCCAATTCAACAGTGAAAACAACTTGAGTTTTAGTTTCTAGGTCACTGGATAGAGACAAGAAAGCCAAAGATACTGAGAGTCACTAATTTGGCCTTATGATTATTAGAGAGTTCCAAAATTGTTCCATTAGTTAAAACAATATATTTAGAACAAAGGGAATATACACCCAGACATGCATCCACTACTACTGTGAAAAGTGAACTCATAGGAAAAGAAGCTAGGAAAGACAAAGCATTTGAACTGGCCAACTGTTATTTAGGAAATCTAAATGCCTGGATTCATAATATATATTCCATTATACATACTAGTCTGAATTCAGAATGACTAAAACAGGGCTGGGTCATATTATGAGACAAATGGGGCAAGGAGTGCATGCATTTTTTTTTTTTTTAATGTGAGCTACTGTCTAAGACTAGCAATGTTTATTCTGCTATAAAAATAGGCAAGAAGAGTTAAGGTTGCCATATTATTTCACAATAAATTCAGTCCAATTTTCATTGTGATATCACAGAAATACATGAAGAATAGCAGTGAAACCAAGGGTTCTAGAGAGACCAGCTATTAGCAAAGCAGTAAGTAGGTAGTGGATTGGATACTAAGTGACAAGGAAACAGATTCATGGAGCTAAGAACAGCAGAGAAGAGATGGAACAGCCACAGAAAAGCAAAAGGTAATCTCAGAAAAGTTCTTTGGTCCTTAACCTTTCCAACTTCTTTTTTCTCTCTCTGCTCATCTCTTTTTCCCTTTGCTCATATCCCTCCTCCTGGAAGGACACCGTTTTTAGAGCAGAATGGCAAATCATCTGGTCCAACTCCTTAATTTTCTGGATGCCATCATGGGAGTTCATTGAATAGTGATTAATACGGGGTTGCCACCAGTCTTGGCCAAAGTCAGTCTCAAACTGTGGCTCCTCATGCTAAGTCCAGTATCCATTCAACAGCACAACACTGCATTGCTTTACAAAATCAATCCTACAACAGACCTGAGAGGTAAATGACTTCCTCTTGTAATTCGCACAAGCACGGATTAGCTTAGATGGCAGTAGAAAGTCTTGAAATTCTTAGGCCTTTTACTTCCACTTCTTTTGCTCTCATAGGTCCCTCGAGAATGACCCTTTCACTCCTACTTTCCTCCTGTATCAGATTCAAGTAGACCAGAGAATAATTTCCAGGGTTTTGCAGCTCTCTTAGGGCTCTGGATAAAAGAAAGAACAAGATATTAACTTTGCACATTTATAATTTCTATCTTAATAGACTTTAAGAAAATAAGTAACAGAGAGGTCAATAATCTCGTGCAGATTTAATCAGCAAAGATAAGAAATCAAGACATTCTTGACCCAATATGAGGTGAGGAGACTATGACTGTCTTTAAAAGGATAGATAGCTAATTCTAGGCAATAAAAGTTTGCAGAGTCACTTAAGACTAAAAGGAAAAGAACATATTCAAGAATTCCAAGAAATTTAGGTATTTCGTCCATAAAACCTTGAACTTTGTTTCCTGTGGACATTAACTTGCTGGATGGACATTGAGTTAAGAATGGTCACAAAGAAAATAAATGGAGATCCTTAGGCTATTGTCTTGCTAGCACAGAAATTGGGAGGATATGGGCCTCTACACAACGTCTAGTCAGTGAAGTAAAAGACCTGAATTTTATCTTGGCACCATTACTCTGTATCTCTTAATCTGAAGTATTTCTTACTTCAGACTGAAAAAGTTCTGCATATTTGAACTTTGCTACTATTACCAATGTGAGCTGTCTATGGCAAAAGACAAGAATAGCTCAGGCAAGAGTGCCTGGGCTTAAGGGTCTGTTAGTCATAATTTTTTGACCAGATTATACCATGAAATTTGTATATGATGGGTGGCATATGCACCCATTCAAGGGTAAAATTTTATAGAAAAAAAGTTAATTTGGAATGCAAATTTTAAACCAGAAATTCTGACCTAGGAGTTCAATAAAAGTTGCTTAATACATTTCGTATAAAAGCATTGCATTTTTTTTTCTTAGAACTATGAGGAAATTGGGGTAGGGATGAGGATTACCACTCCTCCAGCCCTCATCTGGAAAACATCCATACAATTATTTAGCAAAGCAAAGATTCTTATCTTTTTAAACAAATATTATTTGTATTGCCTTTACAACTAATCATCAATTTCACTATTATAAATTGTTTACTGGTCATCTCTGTTATGTGACATAGTACTAAGCTTAAAATAGGAGAAAGAAACATGATCAATAGGAGAAATTAACTGACACGGTGCTTTACTAACATTGCCATTTTTAATCATTGCAAAGAGCCCACTTATTTATTAGGTTAGTGTATAGTGAAGTGGAATAAATCAGGGTAATTATGTAGAAAATGTGGGTAAAATAAAAACACTTCCACATTAAATAGTTATATTCTTGAAGAAAAAGTGACACTTGGAACATGCATTTCATTTGTTTGTCTAAATTTTCTATTGTTTTCCAGTTCAGTCTTGATTCAATGAAACAAAAGACAATTGCTAACTCAAAATAAAGGTCTCTAAAAATTAGGTTATTGCCTATGATGATCTGCCCCAAAGTAAATGCATGCAATCATTTTGGGTTGATTAATGAGAAATAAAAGATCATTTTCAGCCCCAATTTAACTTGATTGTAGTATATGTAGAAGGGACAAAGTTATGACCTCAAATAGGTTTTAAAAGAAATAACTATTGTAGAAGAGTGGAAATTTTCCCTGGGAAATTTTAATTTTTTCTCACTATCTACTTCAATAACAAAGGACTTGATTCATAAAAGAATAAAAGTTCTTTGAAAACCTATTAACCTATTATCTTATTGTCGCAGTCTCATGGGAAGTAACTGCGATGATCCCATCAGGAATGGAGCAAAGAGAAATTGCCTCTAACTCATCACACCTTCTTTCAGATTGCAGCCTTGCTGTTGAAAAAAAAAAAAATCAAAATCATACTCTCTGGCATCATACAGGAACCACAAAAAAAGTAAAGGGAGTTTAACTTCTCCATAAAATAATAACAGTTTTTACAGAATACCCCTCTGTCCAAAAACTATAAATTTGCTTATGCTGTTGTGAGTAATCAAGAAGTGATTTTGATCTAAAATAAACTTTATCTGACAAAGAGTTGAACCTTACTTCATATAATTTCCTTACCTACCAATTTGTCTTACTGCTGATCAGCTCCATGGATATTATTCTTTGTCTACTTATCCTATATAATAAAAGTGTAATACGCAAACTGTCCCCTCTACTGAGAGTTCATCCAAGAGTTCGACTATGGGGTGGGGCTGGCCAGGGGGAAGGAAGGGAATACCTGGCTGGCAGCCAGCAGCTGCAAGGGGCCCTACTAGTGCACAAATTTTGTGCACTGGGCCTCTAGTATTCAATAAGTTCAAGAACTAATTCATTCCTCTCTTCTCACAAACCAAACCCACACATGCATAAATACACACACATACACACAAACATACTCAGTTCCCCTCTATTTCTGTTTACATCACCCATTTTCAGGTCAAGCCATGAATCTTAATGCCATTTTCCCTGCTCATCCATAAATTTTAAGTTTTAAGGAGATGATGGGGGAAAAAGAAGAAAAATATAACTAAGAGTAAGAGGAAAGAAAGATGGGAAGCTAAGGACTAGTCACTTTTATCATAAATTGATACTTTTATCACAGAATTTGTTACCTGAAGAAATAAAAAATGATTTTCTTCCCCTTCTTCCAACTTTGTGCAACTTAAATTTTGGTCTTGAACCACTATTTCCTTAATCTTGAATGTTTAAGTCTCAAGCATAATCAATAGTTGGTGGTTTTATTAGCTATTTAAATTTACTGGATCAAGTGATTTGGCTGCTAAAATTTTTGAAATCAAACAATCCAATCATTCAAAATATGCCACTGAACATGCATTGAAATTAACTGAATTGTCCTTATATCACAAAGACTTCGTCAGTAAATGGCCATCCAAGTTCTTACAAGATTCAATGCAGGTTCAGTTGTTTATAGTAGTCCATTTTATTCATGATTTTGCTTTCCACGGTTTCAGTTACCTGCAGTCAACTGCGGTCTAAAATATAACATAGAAAATTGCAGAAATAAAGAATTCATAAGTTTTTAAAGGAGATATTTTGGTGACATTGGTTAATAAAACATATAGGTTTCGAGTGTACAATTCTATGATATATATCATCTGTGTATTGCACTGTGCGTGCACTACCCAGAGTCAAATTTCCTTTCACCACCATTTATTTGACCCCCCCTTACCCTTTACTACCTAAATTCATACTATTTTTAAGTAGTGTAATGAAATCTTGCACAGTCCTACTCCATCCTATTGGCCACCATATTCACCCTGTATGTACTTCCTGCCCATTAGTCACTGACAAGCCATCCAGGTTATCTGCATCAACTGCAGCAGCGGGTATCTGTTATGCTTGTATTCAAGTAACCCTTATTTTATTTAATAATGTCACATCACAGAACTTTATTGTATTTTACTTTTGAATACCGTTGTCAATTTCTCACTGTGCCTAACTTATAAAGTAAACTTTATCATAGGTAAGTATATATAGTAAAAAACATAGAATCTACAGAATTAGGTACTATGCACAGTTTCCGGCATCCACTGGAGGTCTTGGACTGTATCTCCTTAGATTAGGGGGAACTACTGTATTTCATACGTGAGAAGAAAAGCCTGGGTACAGAGATAAGCTGGCTCTTTTGTTTCAGGAACTGGATAAGGCATTGAACAATTATAGTTCCCAGGAAATCCGAGACTTAGTTAATGAACAGAGGACAATTCTTTTGCAAATGCCCCTTACTGGTGGAATTCACCCTGGGCTTGAATAGATTGTATTATGATTCTTGTCCAAAAGGGACTTTTAGGAATCAATGTGAACACTTTATACTTTCCTGCTTAAACTTCCCAAAAGAATAAAGCAGTAATAGCAAGCACAGAGAAAAATAAGTGCAGTATAGTGCCTTTCGAGTCAGGACTCTGCGGCACCATGACTGAGAGAACATTCTGGCAAATGTAAGGGGCCCAGGGAGGCCTAAGCCTGCCGCTAACTAGTTGTGTGACCTTAGGGAAGAAAATCGACTTTCCTCTCCTGGACGTCAGCTTCTAACTGGAAAAGTAAAATGTTTGGATGAAGTAGAATCAGCTTTCTGCTTATCTGCAAACTGCTACTGAGGTCTATGGGCTTGCTGATCTGCAGTCTCCTTTCTCTGACAGAGTAGATACCTTGATATACTTCTGCAAAGGGGTAATTGACACAAGATTTGTTGCTTTTCTTATAAAACCACAAGAATTCATCTATGGTATTTATAAAAATTATAGTATTCCACAGGCCAACTATTCCATTTAAAAGACTGTGGTTGAAACCAGTTTGGCTTTTAACAGACATTCTAAAATAAGCCAACATATTTTTCCTTCCCTCTCTTTCAGTTTGGCACCCCTACTGGGGATGTGCCCACCACCAAGGTACATGCCCTTGACTGGAATGGAACCTGGGACCTTTCAATCCGCAGGCCGACGCTCTATCCACTGAGCCAAACTGGTTTCAGCCACAGTCTTTTAAATGGAATAGTTGGCCTGTGGAATACTATAAATACCATAGATGAATATGCAAAATTGTGTTAAAAAAAACCACCTAGAATATGAAAGATATTTGTCTATGAGACATAATGAAGAGAAAAAAATAAAGGTTGCATTTGAGTGATGTTTTTAACAGACATTCTAAAATAAGCCAACATATTTTTCCTTCCCTCTCTTTCAGTCATCTGAGATGGAGAAAACTCCCATGTCACCCCTTCACCCCAGGAAATTCCCACCACATACCACATTCAACATAAATAGTAGCTTTGCATGCACAGTAATCAATTACCGTATTTTTCAGACCATAAGACGCACTTTTTTCCCCCAGAAGTGGGGGGGAAAAGTCCCTGCATCTTATGGTCCAAATATAGCCTACACATATACTTTAAAAAAAAAGTTTTTTTACTTGTCCGGCTCTGTGTGGTCTCTGTGTGCTTGCCCGGCTCTAAAATGGTTCTAAATGCTGCTGTTTACTTTACAGGGTTGATTACATGTGTTTATGACTGTGATGTTGGGTTTTAATGCACATAAAATATTTTAGGACACTATTTGTTTCAGAATCTTTTTTTCTTCATTTCCCTTCTCTAAAAACTGGTGCGTCTTATGGTCCGGAGCGTCTTATGGTCCGAAAAATACGGTATGACTGTCTTCAGAAACCAATTTCTTTCTCTGTTTCTAGCTGGCTCCTCTTCTATCTCATCTCTAGTTTTATATTTTATAATGTTTCACAATGTTTTAGACTCAGTGCTTATGAGGTACTGAATTTACAATAAGAAAAAGGTAATTTTAAAAAGTCAGTTTGAAAATCTACTCTTTTATTCATTCATGTAGTCATTCACTATTTTACTGAATGATTCTCGAGCCCCTGGTGTATGTAAGACACTGGTGGGAAGAGTCACATGACATAGTGACAGAATGACATGACATAGTTTATCAGTATGGATCACCTATATGCAGCTTATACTATTTGAAATGTAGTGAGAGTATAACACAGAAATTACTACTTAATTATTGAGTATTTTGGACAATTTCACAGTCTTTTATTTTTTATTTTTATTTATTTTTTATTTTTTATATTTTTGTTGATTTTCTTACAGAAAGGAAGAGAGAGGGATAGAGAGTTAGAAACTTCGATGAGAGAGAATCATCGATCAGCTGCCTCTTGCGCACCCCTACTGGGGATGTGCCCACCACCAAGGTACATGCCCTTGACTGGAATGGAACCTGGGACCTTTCAATCTGCAGGCCGACGCTCTATCCACTGAGCCAAACTGGTTTCAGCCACAGTCTTTTAAATGGAATAGTTGGCCTGTGGAATACTATAAAAAGAAAAGAGGTTGTTTCTTTCACTAATGGATAGAAAGAACACAGCATCAGTGATAAGCTTTTTTTCTCTGGTTTTTGTCATCAGATGACTCCAGTCATCAGATAAACATTTTCCACATCTCCTCTACTCAGCCCTTCCTCTCAACTTACCAAAATAATTAGCCTTTGGACAATCTCAGCCAATCAAAAGCAGAAACATCCAGTTTAATGTCCAATTGCAAGAAAATGATGCTGGAGGGTTATTTTAAAATACCACTAACATTTATGTGTTTTTGGAAACAACACACAAAGCACACTGTTGCCATCACTTTATTTATATCTTCATGGGATATTATAATTCAGAAATCATTTGTTTCCTTCTTTGTACTTTCAGTGATAACTCACCTCTGTCTTGGGTCCGGTGACGCTTCCAGTATAGTAAGATTGAGATTAGGATCAGAAGAATTACCAAGGAAACAATACTTAAGAGCAGTGGAACTGAAAACCAAAAACCTATAGACATTGAAGGGAAGAAGAGGAAAAACAGTCATGAAAGGAAGCTATTGAGGACCAGAGGTAAACTTTCAATAAAAATTATTCTTAAATATAGACATATTGATGTTTATATTTATGACATATTATATTAAGACATTTAGATAATAATAATAGCTCACATGTTTTATGTAGTTACCATATAATAAGAGCTTTTGATGTATTATCTCATTTAATCCTCAAAACAGCCTGAGTTAGGTGTTATCATTATCTAATATTAAAAAACTGAGGCTCAGAGAGAAGTTCAGTAAATCCAAATCAGCATAGTAAGTGGTAGAAACGAGGCCTGTTCTTTTTGCCTCCAAAGCACATATTCTTTGTCTACTGCCAATTACAGTAATGTATTTATTGAGGAAATTTTGGAAAATACAGAGAAATATAAAAGAAAAAAATCAATATAAATGATGTTAGTTTCTGTATTCTTGGAAAAGAAGATATGTTTCTTTTTCTTATTTTGCAGGGAAATTTACCTTTTGCCTTGGCTGAGTCTGAGGTTCATTTAAAAAATGTCCAAATCTAACATCACAAACCTTTCGATGAAAGTGACTTAAATGTTGACTTTCAATAAGTCTATTTTTTTCAAGGACTCCAGAAATGACTACAGGAGATTTTCCTTAGAGGCCAGGGCACCAATAAGGCAAACACGGGAAAGCTTTTTCAGATTTTATTGTTTAAAATGCCCCCTACGAACCCCCAACCCCCCAACAAAAAGCAGCAGTATTTTTCTAGAAGGTTTATTACAGAGTGCCTCATCCAAGTTAATGCTTCCAAACTACAGAGAAAGAGAACTGTGGCTGTTATCACTCTTCTCTTTATTCTTTCCCATAACCCTTACCTCTTGTATCCTTAGGCCTGGGGGTAGCAGCTTAGATAGAAACATAAGAGAGCAAAAGGGGTCTTGAGCAGGAGGCAGTTTGTTTAAAAAGGGTGAGGCAAACACCTCATCAGACCCTTTCCCCCAGTACAGATTCTGCAAAGGTTTCAGCAAAGATGTCTTCTTCCAGGAAATCTTTCTGATCTCTTCCCAGGTTGAGCTGATGTCACTCCTTCCCACCTGCAATCCTCCCATGGTGCACCTTATGGAAGCATTTAACATGAAGTTTTACAAGTTGTTCAACCACTTCGGTGTTTCCTAGTGGACTAGATGCTGTCAAATAGCCTGGCACACATTGGATAGTAAATGCTAGCGTGGAAGAATAAATGAATGAATGGATCTCAGCATTTGGTACGTGGGCACTGTGCCACATTTATCAAAGTAACATTGGCTTGATTGGCTTCCTCAACTCTGTTTTCCTTTTCCTACTTAACCCATTCTCTCCTCTATTAGCTCTTTCATTAAGAGGCCATGAGGTTCCGCAGAGCAATCACCACATTCCAGGTGTGTGGGCACAGTACATAGCCTTCTTTGCCCACCTTCTCTTACCTTTGTTCACAGTTTCCTCGTAGTCATTCACAGTCCCCAAGTGCAGCACCTGGCAGATCACCTTCTTCCCCATCTGATTCTTGGGGTCTTTGATGTGGAGGACGCTGATGACAGACGTGGTCCCATTGGGGTGTGTGATAATCTCAGTACTGTTGTCCATTCCTGACCCAGCGACCTTCCAGGAAATTACAGGGGCTGGGCGGGCATTGGCAGAGCAAGTGACATTTAGGTGGTCTTCGGATAAATTAGAGTGAATGAATACTGTGGGCTGCACTGGGACAAAAAAATAAAAGGATGGTCTGCCATCAGTTAAGCACCTAGTCTGAGCTTCACACTCTCCTCAGAGAGATGACAGAATGGTTTTTCAGTAAGTCAGTGGGGGCTAGAAAGATAAGGTAGCACACCCAACCCCTGCCGAGGCCTTCTCGGTTCTACCTGAAGGATGGGACCAGCCTAGTACAAACCTGTAACAACAAAAAAAACCCAAAACATTTCTCTAGTTTGTCTCTAGATGAACTAGCTGGATGAACAGAGGCTATCTTCTCTCTAGAACAGTACAGAGCCTCGTGATTATGTTCTCCTTTGTCAGGGGCAATGCAGCATCTCTGCCTGTTTCTGGGTACCGCTCACAAACGAGCACCAGAGGCCATCAATGAGCACGCTGTACAAGTGGCCTGCGCGTCTCAGAAGCACCAGGGCAGTGTCAGAGCAGAGGGCCCCGGAGCGGGACTGCTGCTTAGCGGTAGCAGGTTTCTGCCTGGGGCTGAATCAGCAAGTGAGCTGCATGGAAGAAACCAGGAAAGTCCCTGTTGGGAATATCTACACAAAATAAAAATAACCAGAGAATCACAGAATGACAGCTGAAGGAACTTGGAGATCACCTTACGGAGTTAAAAAAAAGAAATAACTCGTTAGGCCAGCTTTACACTGTTCCCTTTTTAAAAGTCCCATAACTGAAGAGCACATTTCTGTTGGAATACAGTTTATCTCTGCTGAACAAATGCAGACCTGTATTTCTGTGGTTGGCTTTATAGCCTACAAGATAATTAGAGGGCAATGCTGAATAAAACTTGTCCTTACTTAGAGGTTCAAGAGATGGGTGAGTGGCAGTCTGCTGGAGGAAACAGGACTAGAGAACTTTGGCTCTGTCCAAAGAATGCCTAATTACTAACCTTTTTGAGCACTGGGAAAGAATAATGAAATTGAAGGCAGATGGTTATGGTTGATGTCACCAGACTGGTGGCAGGTCTCTGGCATATCAAAGAATGATAAATAAAAACTAAGTGTGGCTGGAAAAGTCAGTATAAAAAAAAATTGGTAGCTAGGAGACTCAATAGATAGGTTTTCAGACAAAAATAATATAAAAGGCTATGAGCAAAGGAGGGAAAATAGCACAAAGAAAGAATGATGAGCAAAGAAGAACGAGAAAAGGAACAGAAATGAGAAACATATGACACAAGAAGGAAAAAGAGGAAAGATGAGATAAGAGGAAGGGAGGGAAGGGAAGGAAGGAAAGAAAGAAGGAAGGGAAGGAAGGAAAGAAGGGAAGGAGGGAGGGAGGGAGAGAGGGAGGGAGGGAGAGAGGGAAGGAGGGAGAGACGGAGGGAGGAAGAGAGGGAAGGAGGGAGAGACGGAGGGAGGAAGAGAGGAAGGAAGGGAAGGCAAATGAAGAAAGGGAGTAAAAAGGAAGAAAAGGTAGAGGAAGGATTGCAAAGAAAGGGAAGAGAAAGAGAGAGAGAGAGAGAGAGAGAGAGAGAGAGAGAGAGAGAGAGACTGAGGGAGACAGAGAGAGAGAGAGAGAGACTGAGGGAGACAGCGAGAATGAAAGAAGTAGAAATGAAGAACAAAGCCTGACATAAGATCCTGCAGAGAGGATTTATTTTAGCCAAATAAAGAAAAGTTGTACTTGGTGTTATCATACTTCCCTTGCATTATCTTCTGAGCCCTTCTTACCCTATGTCCAATATTTCTGATGTGCTCAAACTCTCAAACTCTTAACATGCCTAATAACCCTGTTTGTCTCTTCCCTCCTAAAAGCACCACTAAGTGTGCCATGCTCCAAAATTCCCCCTCATTCCTACTTGTCAATTATTGATTTCAGCTATGTGTTAGTTAATAGGAAAGGAATGCTGCCAAACTAAGCCTTGGATTATTTTTTCCTCTTGGATTTAAAATAATGTATTATTCAACTAAATTTCTAATTGACATCAAAATATGCAGAGCCTCTGCTACAAGTCCCCTTATCAATCCTGAGAGAGCTATCCTGAAACAAAATGAGAGGAAACACCAAAACTGGCTCCAGGTTAGCCCATCTTGGTTCTGATGTTACATCCAAAAATATTAAAGCCGCTAGAGACACTGCGGATAATCTATGTCACATTAGTGTGCAGAGAAATTAACTTGGCTGCAGAAAGTGGACAGGACTCTTCTATGGTCACATGATTGCTAACGTCAATGCCAGGTCTGCATGCTATCGCTGTTTATATAGAACTGGTTGTCATTACCCAGTCCTTCACTTGCTCCTGATGACCACAGGACTCCTTGAAGCAAAGATAACACCAGGCAGAGATTCAATGTAACCTCATGAACTCTCCAATAACCACACAGCCACAGTTACAGTAGACATGAAAGTGTCTTCTAACAAATCATTCTCGGGTTAGGACCCTAAAGAACTAGGTGCCACCACCATGTTCTAAACATTCTCGAAAATAGCATTTCTAGTCAGAGACAATGTATTCTCAAAGATTCTCACCAAAGAGTGTGAGGCAGGTTGTTCCTGAAATCTTCCCGGAACCGAAGGTATTGAAGAGACACTTGTAACACCCCTCATCGTCCAGAGTAGTGTTCCAGAAGGTGATGGTTGTGTTCTGAAGTCCCAGCTCGGTTATGTTTATCTTATCCTTAAAGGGTGGCTGGACCACGACCCCGTGTTCCTTGCTGAAAGTGACCATGTTTTCTGGGCTTGAAGCCTTGATTTTCTGCCATGTCACAATCAGGACTTCTTGGGGAATTTCCAGGACGCATCTTAAAGAAGCAGGTTTGTTCAGCAGATTTCTTTCATCGCGGGTCAGCACTTTTATCATGGAATCATTAAAAAAAAAATTAACACACACATAAATACAAATTTTTCTGATTAAAAAACAATGCATGTTCAAAGTCAACTATAGAAAAGAAAAAGTCAAAGAAGAAAACATTTATCTACACCTCTAATGTTGCTAAGGAAATATAAGTTCTAATATGTTTTTTTCCATCTTTAGAAGTAGCAGAGTAGAAAAATAAGAAGGAAAATAAGTCTCAGGAACAAGAAATAATGTGAAGAATCCCTATTTGCTGGAAATTAGGTGGAATCAAGTTGAAGGGGGCAAATGTCAGAAAGGAGAGAAATATTACCAAGTGGGTTTATGCCGAGAGAGGTGGAAGCCAAGAGCAAGAAGAGCAAATGGACAATAGGCAGAGAGATTCATTTAAATAAAGAAAATGTAACATCCTATACTTCCATACACACCCTGTACAAAGGAAGGGGCAGCAATAGTGGTGCCTGCCTCTAGGAGTGAATATAGCAGAGTAAGATAGAGAGATATAAAGGACACTGCTACAGGAGGCTGTTAGTGGAGAGAACTTTGACAACCAAATGGCAATCTACACATTCCCCCATTTTTATTGAATGTGGTGTAGAATATAAGGCATGGCAATAATTTCCCTCCCTCCAATGCTGGCTCCTCTAATGATATTATTGTTTATTCAGTGGGAAATCTCAATATAATAACAAATAGCCAAACATTTGAGAAAGGTGACAGAAGAAAGAGGAGTAATAAACTTGACAAATCGAAGAATTTATACCAAATGAAGAAAGTTCTTATAAATCAATAAACACTTGAATAAGAATAAGTGAGATATATCTGAATTGTAAAAGTAAGCCAGCATTGTAAGTAGTAAAAATTAGAGATGTAGAGAGTGAGGAATACAAACTCTTAACAGATTGGCTGACTTAGCAGAATGGATATCACTGAAGAGTAAATGAGCAGGTGGAAAGGGTAGGTCATGGAATTCTTCCAGAATGTAGCACAAAGGAAGAAAGATATGGAAGAAGAAATTAAACTAAATTCAAAGACCGGAAATGTTTCAGCATCAGTTCAATAAGACTTTTAAAAGAAGAGAAAATGGAGATTGGAAGTAAAAAACACAAATATATTTTAAAATAATAAAAGAAACAATCTAAAATAAGATACATTAATCATGAACCTCTATGCACCTAAAAAATAATCCAAAAATACATAAAAAGCTAATACAACTATATTTTTATAAATCCATAATAATAATAGGGTAATTTCTATAGTTCTCTCAGAATTTCACTTCCATATATTAAAAACTAAATAAAGCAAAAAGTCAAATATAAAAGTATATAAAATTTAAAAAGCAAATATTTATATATTTTATATATATGAATTTACAACCTTTTACTTAAAAGAGAATATCCAATATTTTCAAAAACACATGAAACATTCCCCAAAATTGAACTCGAAATAGGATACAAAAAGTTATGCTATCCAATGTCCTGAACATTGGGCCCAAAGCAATAAAATCAGAAGCTTACATGCTTCTTTTAACTAATTACACCGAAAATAATAGCAAAGATTATAAATTACTATGAATGACATTGGGAGTATAATATATTGAAATCTGTAGAAACTGAAAAAGCAGTTCTCAGAGAGAAATATTTAATCTTAATTTATTAGGAGACCAGAGAAATTGGACAATGAAAACACATACAAATCTAAGCCAAATCCCCAAACCCTAAGCCAGAAAAAAAGGTAAAAAGAGTGAATTAATAAAGATAAAAGCACAAATTAATGGAACAGTACACAAAATGTAGACTGAATTAAAAACACCATAATCCGTTGTTTCAAGACTAACAAAAAGTTGACTAGTGTAATTAGAAAAAAAGAAGTCAGCACAAGCAAACAATATTCTTTCAACAACATCAGGCGTAAAAAGATGGACATAGCGACAAATACCATTTGGAACCCCTGAGCGTTGTATGAATCAAGTTTTAGTGAGGTGTGCTCTTGGTAGGTGTGAAAAGTTCTGAGGACAATACCTGTTGTTGGGATTCTGCAAATCAATTTGAAGAAATTGCTGCTTTTAGAATGGAGAGGAGAAAGGGATCAAAGCCAGGATTTTAACTTCCTGGGGTGATTTTTCTCGTTAACTATGAAAAAACCATTTAATGGAAAGTTTTGCAATTCTTTACTGCGTATATATAATTCCATTTAGATCCCCCAGTCAGTAGGTAAATCCTGTGTTGCAGGTAATGTGAAGTCTGCCCATCCTTCACCTAGGAAGGCTGATGTGTGCACTGTCACACAGAAGGTGATAAAAGGCCAGCAGCAAAGCGAGGGGTGGCCCCCAATGGAACAGAGGAGAAAGGTCTGGCGCAACTAGGAAATGCAGCAGATACGTCAACAGCACAGGCATATGCTTTATGTAATAGACTATGTGAACCTAGGTAACTTTTATATTTCATTAGTTTCTAGATTTTTCTGTAAAAGAGGGGCACACCCAGTTTTAAGGCTTACTATCATATTACCTTTCCCAAAGGTTGTATTCATTCATAGTCCCCAAGCATCCCCATATCTTTACAAACATAGGTAATTGTTGTTGTAAAAGTTATTCGAGTTGATACGTAAGAAATATCTTAATTTAGAATTGTTTCATGCCTGGTTCTACCTACAGAATCAATGTCTAAATAGCAGTTTTCTTCCACTTGGAAAACAAAAAGACTGCAAAGCAGAAAGAACTGTTTCCACTCCTCCGATCAAATTATACGTTTATACTGTAATTCATGCAGGCAAAAGGAACCAGCACAGCAGAAACCACAATCTCCTGGGCTCCACACAGGGAAAGGGAGTGTCTTTACCTTGTGCCTTGCATAGCATCACTGCGGCCAAGAACCAAACCAGTCTGTAGGTAGACAGATGACAGAAGGACCTCTCGAACACCTGAAGACACAGAGCAAAGCACAAAAATTGGCATTTGGATGTGGACAACGCTAAGGAAGCTTCAATTTCATGGTTACCTCAGGCAATGTTGCAGCTAAAGTTGTAACCACCAGAGAACTTTGGTTTTGAGAAAGCAGAACCAGAGACTATAAATAAAAGAAATAACAGTGTGCTCAGGATATGGGAAGGGGAAAGCAGCAGTGTGGCTCCTTCAGTATGGCAACCCCTAGCAATTTGAGGCCTGGTTCCTAGAGCCACCATGGTCAAGAGCAAAACCCCAAAGGCACAGGATCTCTGGGGAAAACAAAGGACTGCAAATACACCGAAAACAGAGACCACAAATGTCAAAGAATACCCACTTCCAAAGTAATCCACATCCGTTAACATTATAAATGTAACTCAGGGGAACTACTTGTCAGAAACAAGTGACTGCTTTGCAGTTTGCTGAGGTAGATTTTCCTGCAAATTCTGCAAATTTTATATGAATTATACCTTTTAAAAACCAGCAATGAAAACACACACACACACACACACACACACACACACCAGTAATAGCTTTATTTTCTCTTCATTGCTTTGTTTTCATGTGTCTGGGCATAAATCTTTGGCCATATTACAAATCATGTTGCTATTTAAGGGAATGTTATTCCGGGTATCATTTTGCTCTAAAATGTGGGCAGAATGTAGAGAGATTAATTTATCTGTGAAGTAGCTCCAAGAATCTGTTCACTTGGTCTACATGAATGTGTTCATTATAAGGGATATAGAGAAGAAATGTAACTTTTCCTTAAATATTTTTCTGTATTTCTGGGTTTTTCTATTAGTTAAATGTGTGCAAGAAATATGCATTTTCTGTATTTTTTTTTTAACTGACCTTCATCCCAACTAGAGTTAGATACTTAGTTTTGATGTCTCATTATCTTTGTCAGTTCAGATCCTGCAAACCCAACACTTCACAATTGTCCCAATGTCTGGCATTGCACCTATATTCCTGGGGGCTTACATAATGCCAGCCTTTGGTACAGGACTACTAATTATTGGAAACAAATATCTATTCATGCTGGCATTCCCTAAGGCTGCTGTGCTCCCCTCAAGTTATCAGGGTCATCCATCTGTGCAATTAAATTTTGTGCTTATAAGGTGTTCTCTTTTGTTACTCTCTTTTGTTCTCTTTTTGGTCTCCTGATTCCTGCTCCTGTATTCTTCCTGTGCTGGGCAAAGGGAAATTCTACAGGGCTCTCTGCCTAGACTCCCATGAATCTATCCACCTCTGTTTTACTGTTTCTTTTCTATGTTGGGTCCCCATCCTCTGCCTCCTCCCTCCCTCGCCCCTCCCCGGAAAACAAAACACAGGCTTTCTGTTCTTACATGTTAACATCTATCTGTAAGTTTTATTTACCATTCTCCTGAATTCTCCACTTCTGGGGGATAGACAGAGTCTCCTTTTCATAACACAAACTGGTATCTGAACTTAGACATTAGTGGGTCCCTCTTTGCTCTCCCAAAATAAAATATGTATATTTTCTCTAGGGCCAGAAAAGCTGGTTCCTCCATCACCCTCCATTCTTCCCATTAACTTTCTCTGGAATAAATATGTTCCTGGTCTTTTCGCAGTTTTGCTTTTGAAAACTCAAATGCTCCTGTTCTTGCTATTTTAAAACTTCCGTTTCTGAAACTAAAAAGAATTCTTTGACATACACAGACAAGCTAAATTGTGTGGTTTCAGAGTGAGGGCTGGAGGGGTATCAGCCATTGTCTCTCCCCACACAGCCAAACTTGATTCTGCCTTGGCCTGGTGAACTCCATTAGCTCCACCGTGAGACCCCACCCCACTGCAAAGGTCTTCAGGCCCTAGACCAGGGTGGCTTTTGCTGAACAGCCTCAGGCTCAGCACAAGCACCAAACAGGAAACTGTGTTAACCTGGTGAACACCACCTGGTGTCTCTCCCCCACCCTGCTTCAGAAATTTGCATACTGCCTAAGGTTCTTTCAGCAGCTGAGACTTAGGGCAAATGGCAGGTGGACGTAGATCTTAGGCTGCCTTGGCCTTCTGCTAATCTGACTTCTGACTCAGTATTGCTAGAAGCTTTAGTTCACAGCATGGCTTCTCCTACATGCATCCAGGTCCTGCACAGACAGCCACCTATTTAAAGAAATAATGACTGGAAATCTTCCTAGCCTGATGAAGGACATGCAAAAAATCCCAAACAAGAAGACCCCAAAGAGACCTACATCAAGATTATTATAATTAAAATGGAAAGGTTAAAGACAAAGAGAGAATCTTAAAAGTAGCAAGAGACAGACAAGTAGTTACGTACAAGTAAACTCCCATAAAATTTTCACCTGATTTCTCAACATAAACTTTTCAGGCCATAAGGGATTGACATGAAATATTAAAAGTGAAGAAAAGTAAGGAACTACAACCAAGACTACTCTACCCAGCAAAGATACCATTTAAAATTGGAGGAGAAATAAAGAGCTTCCAGACAAAAAAGTTAAAGGAGTTTATTACCAACATACCAGGATTACAGGACACATTAAAAAAAAACAAAGAAAAGAAGCAGAAAAAGAACATAGTTATAAAACATAAAATGGCAATAAAATGTAACTATTGATAATACTTTAAATGTAAATGGATTAAATGCTCCAATAAAAAACATAGGTAACTAAATAGATAACAAAATAAGACCCATACATATGCTGTAAACAAGAGACCTACCTCAGAATGAAAAACACACACAGACTAAATGGGTTGGAGAAAAAATATTTCATGCAAATAGAGAGGGGGTAAAAAACCTGGGATACCAATCCTTACATGAAATTAAAATAGACTTTGAAGCAAGGGCTATAATAAGAGACAAAGGAAGAGATTAAATAATGATATAGAGAGCAATCCAATAAGAGGATATAACTCTTATAAACATTTATGTACCTAACATAGGAGTACCTAAATATATAAAGCAGATACTGACAAACATAAAGGGAGAGATCAGCAGTAATACAGTCATAGCAGTGGAATTCAATACCCTATTAACATCAATGGATAGATCTTCCATACAGAAAATCAACAAGAAAACAATAGCCTTAAATGATACATGAGATCAAATGGATTTAATTGATATTAAATTAAAATCAACAGAATATAAATGTTTTTCAAATGCAAGTCAAACATTTTCCAGGATAGACTACATGTTAGGCCACAAAACAAGTCTTAAGAAATTTAAGAATTTGGAAATCATATCAAGAATCTTCTTTGACCACAATGGTATAAAAATAGAAATCAATTACAAGAAGAAAATTAAAAACGTATGAAGGCTAAATAACAGACTATTGAACAATGAATGTATTAAAAATGAGATTCAAGAAGAAATCAAGCATTGATGGACTTGGAGAGTATTAAGCTAAGCGAAATAAGCCAGTCAGAGAAAGATAAATATCACATGATTTCACTCTTTTGTGGAATAAAATGAACAACATAAACTGATGAATAAAAATAGATCCAGAGACAGAGAAACACCAAATGGACTGTCAAACCTCAGAGGAAAAGCAGGAAATGGGGTGGGGTGGGGGTTGGGGGGTGGGGTTGAGGTAGTAGGGGGGGTATAAGAGATCAACCAAAGGACTTGTATACATGCATATTAGCATAACCAAGAACATGGACTCTGGGGCAGTGGGGGCTTGTCCTGGGGTGTGGGAGTGGCCAGGGAGGGGTAAATGGAGAAAAAAGGAGACATATGTAATATTTAAACAATAAAAGAAAAAAAAAAGCAATCAAAAGATACCTTGAGCCAAAACCTGTTTGGCTCAGTGGATACAGCATTGGCCTGCGGACTGAAAGGTCCCAGGTTCAATTCCGGTCAAGGGCATGTACCTTTGTTGTGGGCACATCCCCAGTGGGGTGTGTGCAACAGGCAGCTGGTCAATGACTCTCTTTCATCGACGTTTCTAACTCTCTCTCTTAATTCCTCTCTATGTATTGTAAAATCAATAAAATATATTTTTAAAAAATACCTTGAGACAAAATGAAAAAGGAAACACAGCAATCCAAAATATATGGGACACAGGAAAAGCAGTCCTATAAGGAAAATTTACAGCAATACTGGCCTACCTCAGGAAACAAGAAAAATCTCAAATAATCTAAATTTACACCTAAAGACACTAGAAAAAAGAACAACAAAGCCCAAAGTGAGAAGAAAATATTAAATGTCAAAGTAGAAATAAATAAAATAGAATATAAAAATAATACAAAAGATCAATGATAAGAAAAGATCAATAAGATTGAAAAGATTAACCAGACTCATAAAACAAAACAGAATATTCAAATAAAATGATCAAGAAAAGAGAAATGACCAACATTACAGAAATACAAAGGATTACAATAAAATACTCTGAATTATTATATGCCAACAAATTGAATAATATGGAAGAGAAGGAAAAATTCCTAGAAATACACAATCTCCAAGACTGAATAAAGAGAAAACAAGACATCTTAATAGACCAATTTCTAGCAATGAAATTGATTCATTAATAAAAAAATAAAAAAATAAAAAAATAAAAACTCCAAAAATACAAAAGTTCTTGAATGCATTGCTCTACAGGGGAATTTTACCAACTATTAAAAGAATTAACACCTATCCTTCTCAAACTATTCCAGGAATTTTAAGAGACTAGAAAGTTCCCAAGCTCATTTTTACAAGACCAGCATTACCCTGATTCCAAAACAAAGACATCACAAGAAAAGAAAATTATAGGCAAATATCACCGAAGAACATAGATACAAAATTGCCAACAAAGTATAAGTAAAACCAACTTCAGCAATACTTTGAAAAGATCATACACTATGATCAAATGGCATTTATTCCTAGGATGCAAGGTATATTCAATATTCACAAATCAATTTACATGAAACATCACACAAAATGAAGGATAAAAATAATATGATTATTTCAATACATGCAGGGGGGGAAAACATTTGACAAAATTTAGTATCCATTTATGATAAAAACTCTCAGTAAAGTGGGAATTAAAGGAACATACCTCAACATAATAAAGGCCCTATATGACAACACACTGCTAACATCATACTCAATGGGGAAAAGCTAAGTGTTTTCTTTAAGATCAGAATCAAGACAATGTTGTCCACTTTCAGCATTTTTATTCAACATAACATTGGAATACCTACTCACAGCAATCAGACAATAAAAAGAAATAAAGGGCATCTAAATTGTAAAGAAAGAAGTAAAATTTGTTATAATTTATAGATACCATACTATATTGAGAGAACCCTGAAGATTACACCCAAAAATGAATAGAATTGATAAATGAATTCAATATAGTAGCAGGATACAAAATTAGTATCCAGAAACCTGTTGCATTTTCTATTCCAATAATGAACTATCAAAAAAAGAAATTAAGAATATAGTCTCACTTACAATTGCATCAAAAAATACCTAGGAATAAATTAACCAAGGAAGTAAAAGGCCTGTACATAGAAAATTTTCAGACATTGAAGAAGGAAACTGAAGAAACAAATAAATGAAAGAATGTATCTTTCTCCTGGATAGGAAAAATCAACACTGTTAAAATGTTCATACTACCCAAAGAAATCTATAAATTCAACACAATTTCTATTAAAATTTCTAGTGTCATTTCACAGAACTAGAACAAATAATCCAAAAATTTATATGAAACCACAAATGACCCTGAATAGCCACAGCAATCTTGAGAAAGGAGGACAAAGTTGGAGGTATCATGCAACCTGATATCAAATTATACTACAAGGATGTAGTGATCAGAATAGCACTGTTTTGACACAGAGATTAATGGAACAGCATAAAGATCCAGAAATAAACCCACATCTATATGGACAATTAATATATGACAAAGAAGGCAAGAATATATAATTGAGTAAAGAGTCTAATAAATAAATGGAGTTGGGAAAATTAAATATATACATGCAGAAAGGTGAAATTAGACCACCTTCTTACACCAGACACAAGAATAAACTCAAAATGGACTAGAGACTTAAATGTAAGACTTGAAACCATAAAGCTCCTAAAAGAAAACATAAGCAGTAAACTCTTTAACATGGCTCTTAGTAATATTTTTTTCTGATATACCTCCTTGATCAGGGAAACAAAAGAAAAAATAAACAAATGGGACTATATCAAGCTAAAAAGTTTCTGTAAAGGAAACCATCAACAAAATGAAAATACAACCTACTGAATGGGAGAACACATTCACCAATGATAAATTCAAGTGAGGGGTTAATATCCAAAATTTATAAAGAACTCATACAACTTAACACCGAACCCTCTCCCCTCCCCACAAACAATCCAATTTAAAAGTGAGCAGAGGATCTGAGTAGACAAATTCTCCAAATGGGATATACAGATGCCCAATAACATATGAAAAAATGCTCAACATAACTGTCAGAGAAATGAAAATTAAAACCACAATGAAGCCCTGATTAGTGTGACTTAGTTGGCTGAGCATCATCCCATGCACAGAAGGGTCACAGGTTCGATTCCTGGTTGTGAGCTCGATACCTTATTGGTCTCAGTCTCTCTCTCCCTTTCCCTTTCTCTCTAAATTCAATTAAACACACACACACACACACACACACACACACACACACACACACACTCACACACAGACTCACACAGACTTTTTTTTTTGTCCACCTGGAGTGGCTCAGTTGGTTGAGCATTGTCACATGCACCAAAGGGTTGTTAGTTTGATTCTAGGTCAGGGCACACACCTGGTTGTGGGTTTGATCCCCAGTTGGGGAGCATACAGAAGGCAACCAACTGATGTCTTTTTCTTACATCAGTGTGTCATTCTCCTCCCCTCCCCTCTCCTCCCCTCTCCTCCCCTCTCCTCTCCTCCCCACTCCTTTCCTCTCTCTAAGCATGTGCTCAGATGAGGATTAAAATAAAATAATAAAATAATAAAATCCACAATGATATATCACCTCACATATATCAGAATGGTTATCAACAAACAACAGGTGTTGGCAAGAATGTGGAGAAAAAAAGAAACTTCGTGAATTGTTGGTGGAAATGCAGATTGGTTCAGCCATTATGGAAAAAGATATGAAGTTTCAATTAAGAAATTAAAAATGAATCTGTCTTATGACCCAGTGATTCAAAACACTCAATCAAAGGAATATGCACCCCTATGTTTATTGAAACGTTATTTGTAATAGCCAAAATATAGAGGCAGCCCAAAGGCCCATCAATAGTCCAGTGGATAAAAAGGTAGTAGTATTTATACATATTATTCAGCCATAAAAAGAATGAAAATGAAACCATTTTCCACAACATGGATAGACCCAGAGAGAGTTATGCTAAGTGAAATAAGTCAGACAAAGAAAGACAAACACCATGTGTCGAGTCTAAAGAGCAAAATAAACTGATGAACAAAAAAAGAAACAGACTCATAGATACAAAGAACAGACTGATGTTTGCCAGGGGGAAGAGCGTATGGGGGACTGGGTGAAAAGGGTTAAAGGATAGGGAAGTACAAATTGGCCATTACAAAATGGTCACAGGGGCATAAAGTAGAGCATAGAGAATATAATCAATAATATTCTAAGAATTATGTATGGTGCCAGGTGCATATTAGAATTATCAGGTGTTTCGCTTCATAAGGTATATCCGTGTCTAACCACTACGCTGTACACCTTAAACAAATATAAAATAATATTGAATATTAACTGTATTTTTTTAAAAAAACCACACAGTAGCTAATATTGAGGGTGAAAAATAATGATGTTACCTCACTGGGTGGCTATGAGAATTAAGCATTTTAGGCACTTAACACGGTGCTTAAGCTACAGTAAATGCCAATATATGTTAGGTATCTAAACAATTCGTCATTCAAATCAAATACAGGGAGTACAATAATGGAATAAAGTCCACTTCTACCCTTTGCCGGTTTTCACTGAGGCTGGGGTCTTCCCTGACATCTGTCCACCTGCCAGCTGCACTGCCCCTATTCATACTTCTACTGAAAATTTCTAGGTCCCAAACCTGATCCCACCACATGTAGTCACATGGACTTGGAAAATTAACCTCCCTGCTGTTTCTTTATTTGCATGGTCAGGTAAAGATTAAAAGCATCTGGCATGCTGTTTCTTTATTTGCATGGTCAGGTAAAGATTAAAAGCATCTGGAATACGGAAACACCAGTTCTTTGTTAAGACCATCCTTCTTTGTTAGGAGCGATATCAAAGTCCCTGGCTGTGTGGTCTTGCCAATACAGTATACAAGAAAAAAAAATTATCCTGAGGTATTATTTGTATTTGGATTTTACATTTATCATCATAATTCGTTGTAATTTTATCGTTTAATGCATTATACCCATGTAAATGAGCATTCTGTCCTTCGTTTGGTGTCCTGTGGACAGATCCGGAACACACAAAATGTCTGTCTCTCCTGGATACCCAGGGTTGTAAACCCTTTATGGCTTCCTGAGCAAAGGTCCAGAGGATGGAGAAAGAGCCCAGCGCATCCAGGAGGAAGCCAGCTCTCTCCCTGAGCCCTGGATTCTGCAGCCCCCACCCCAGCTGTTGGGTGTCGACAGGGATTTTGGGGAGAGGTAGCTTAAAACAGATGTGTTTGCCTCGCCTTCCTTCCAGCCAGAGGCAGGGAGCCTCTCCGCCGGCCTCCCGGCGGCGCAGGTCCACTCCCATGATGGCAGGGATCTGGGAGCAGCATCTCCGGAGCCTCTGCCTGGCAGCAGCGCTCTGTTTTCGGGGCATTGAAACAGAAAGCCAGAATGCCAGGCAGCCTGGAGGCCGCCCTTTGGAAGGCGAAATCCTCTTCTCAGCCCGGGTAAAAGCGCTAAGAGGAAAGCGCTGGCGGAAAACCTAGCTCCCTCCGAGCGGATGGTGCGAGCCCAGCCCCAGCCTGGCGCCCTGGGCCCCCCGCCGCCGCCCCAGGCCGCCCTGCGCCCTCCTCCCCGCGCCCGGCCCCGCTCACCCGCCTCTCCATCTCCGCTCCTGGCCGACCAGGGGGCCCGGCTTCAGCTGGAAAGCCCAAAAACTCTCACGCCGGAGCTCCAGACTGTGCGCAGCTCCAGCGAGGCTGCTCGCCGCTGGCCAGCTCCTCGCTCCTTTTCTCCCCCCCACCCCCCACCCCCGCCCTGCACAGGCGAGCAGAGAGGGGCAGGTGGGATTTCAGAACCAAGAGTTCTTAATCATTTTTTCCTATTTCCATAGGTGCTTTTCCGTTAAAAAAAAAAAAAAAACACGATTCCTTTTTTTCATTTTCATTCTTAAATGAGAGGAAGATAATGGGGGAGGCGGAGGCGCGAATGAGCCGTCAGCGCTGGAGAGGCGTGGCTGTTGAGAGGCTTGTAGGGAGCCAAAATGTCTTACTGAGGGATCCACAGAGCTGTAAGTCTGAGGGGTGCAAACCCTAAGATTACTACTAATCCCCCCGCCCGCCCCCAGGAAATCAGAAACATGATATATGCATATTGAAAGGACTGAAAGATTCATGGAGTGGCAAACAGGATAAATAACATAAAAGCCAGTTTAGATATAGGGAAATTCAAAAGATCGAATTAAGAAAATATAAAAGAAAATTCTAAAAGCTATAAAAATTTAAAGAGAGAGGCTCAAAGGAGAGAGAATCAAAGTGAGGTGCAAGAAGGCCATGAGTTAAATTTTCAAAGTGTTGGGGGGAAAAAATAACTTTGAATTCCACTTTGTCTTTTATAAATATGGCTACGGAGGCATATTTTCTTTTATTTTTCAGTCACAGCATCCAATATTGTATTAGCTTCAGGTATACAGCATAGTAATTTGACATTTATGTAACTTAATAAACGATCCCCTTGGTAAGTCTAGTACCCACCATACATCTACTACAAAATTATTGACTACATCCCCTGTTGTGGGGTCAAACCCTGGGTTCAAAATAAGACCACCGGATGCTGATGATTGATTAAGAAAGCAGGCAAGGATTTATTGAACTGGCCAGGATGGCCTCGAGAGCACCACAAGCAGGTGGAGTCCACACGACTGCACTGTTTCAGGTGTCGGCAGTCCTTTTAAAGGTCTAAACCAGTGTTTTTCAACCTTTTTTGGGCAAAGGCACACTTGTTTCATGAAAAAAATCACGAGGCACACCACCATTAGAAAATGTTAAAAAATTTAACTGTGCCTATATTGACTATCTATAAAGTAATTCTCTTGAATAGGAATCAAATAAACACAAAGAAAGTATTTTATAATTACTTTATTATGAAATATTAAGTAAACAAAATAGTGAAAAATTATAAAATTCTTGTCTTGTCTGTACCTACGGCACACCAGGCAACATCTCGCGGCACACTAGTGTGCCGCGGAACAGCGGTTGAAAAACGCTGGTCTAAACCACAAAAATTTTCCTTTGTTCTAAATTCTAAAGGTGAAGAACAGCCTGCAGGGTCGTTCCCAGCTACATCCTGCTGGGCATTGAAATGTGGCCCTATCTTGCGATAGCAGATAATACAGAACAAGACCTGAGTGGTTAATATCTAAAGGTTATCTGCAGTTTCTACTCCTGAAGCTACTGAGTCAGTGGGAATCAATCTTCTGTGGCCCTGGCCCACAGGCACAGGAAAACTGTCTTAGCCTCCAGGTCTCAATCTGGAAACTGAGACAACTACCCTATGTTTAAACAAGGAAGAATGCCTAAGTTTCTGCTCTCCCATCCCCTAGCACATCTAGCCTTACGTAGCCCCGGACTTTCTCACTGGCTAGCAAAAATGTTCTTACAGTTACCAAGGTCCCTAGCACCCCAGTCGCCATTAGTCCTCACTGAAGTCCAGTTTCCTTCCTGCAGGCATCAAGTCTCCTCCTGGCCTGTGTGGAGCTCAGGCTAGGAATTTCACGGGTGAGGCCACTGGTTTCCAGGATCCAGGCCATTTTCTGGTGCAGGAGCTGGAAGTGGTATAGCCAGGTCTGGGTGTCATCTACTTCAGCAGCCGTGGGTGTGCTCAGGATAACAGTGTAGCGTCCCTTTCAGATTGGGGTGAGTCCTTGGGCAGTGAACTTCTTTACCCACACTGAGTCCCTGGGCTAGAAGGGGTGTACAGGGTCTGCGGTGGGCACTGGCAGTGCATCTGGAACAAGTTTATGAGTGTCTCTCTGGGTATACTGCAGAGTCTGTAAGGACTTGAGCAAGGGAATAGTTATGAATTCCAGTTTTCAGTTTCTCCTTGACCTGGGAAGGAGGGAGGGAGGTCTACCATACATGATCTCAAAAGGGGAAAAACCTGTCCTGGTAGGGGGTACACCTGGCCTATATAAGGGTGAAGGGCAGGAGGTTCGTCCAGTTTTCACCGGGTTCCAGGACAAATTTAAACTTTTTAGAGTCCTGCTCATGCCTGTCCTAAGACTTAAGCTATACTTTGAGATACTTTGGCTACAAAGGCGAGGCTGTTATTTGTTCCTATGACTCCAGGCAGCCCGAATCTAGATATAATCTCCTGGAGTGATTTCTTGACTACTATAGAGGCAGTTTCTGTCCTAGTGAGGTATGCTTCAACCTAATCTGAGAAGGTGTCTATAAAAACTAGTAGGTACTTATACTTTAATGCTGGTGGCTTAATCGCTGTGAAATCCACCTCCCAATGCTCTCCTGGGGAATTTCCCTGGGGCCCGAATTTCCAGGGGGACCCTCTTACCTTGCTTAGCATTTACCTGTGCATAGACAGTACTTCTAGTGACTATGCTTTTAATTATCTTATCTAAGCTTGGTAGTATCTGTCTCACAGAAGTTCAGAAGTCTTGGTGTCGCTGAGAGGGTAACCTGGTGTAACTGGGCAACTAACGTCCAACCTAGAGCCTCTGAAGCCAACACTCTGTCATCTGGAAGGGTCCACCAACCATCTGATCCTTTGATGGCTTGGTTCTGTTCTGCCAATTCTTCCTCTTGTTTGGTGTAGGAGGGAGTCCATCATAGGTAGGGGTCTGGCAGGGTTACTAAGACTTGTATAAGACCCCACTGGTTTGGGGGCATCTTCCTTAGCAGTTTGGTCTGTGGCTCTATTTCCTCTGGCTTCAATTGTCTCCCCTTTCTGATGTCTCCCCTTTCTGATGTAACTGCCTTTGGGAGCCAGATGGCCTCCAATAAGGTTAAAATTTCTTCCTTATTTTTAATGTCCTTTCCAGCTGAAGTTGGTAACCCTCTTTCTCGGTTGGATGGCATACGGTGTCCCTATTGAAAGGCTTGGATTAAGGCCAAAAGTTTACTGATGTTCCCCTGTTCAGGAAGTGTGCTCAAATGGTGTGGTCCAGGGTGACTACCGCTGTCCCTGGGTATCGGATCCCATACTGAACGTAACTGCTCCCACCCATGAACAGTACCTCATCTGATGATGATGGCTGGACATCTGTCAGGTCTGGGTGAGCTGTTTGTACTGCATCTGTTACCTCTATGCAGTCATAAATGGGTTCCAGTCATAAATGGAAGTAGGCTGGCAGGGTTGATGGCCAGTGTCTTATGCAACCAGATGTAGTGCTGGTCCAGGAGAAGAACTTGGCACTGGGTGATTCTGGTGTTTGACATCCATCTCTCTGGAGCACCTCGAAAGAGGGCTTCCACTCCATGGGGTGTTATCAGGGCTAGCTCCTGGCCCAGTTTGCTTATCTGCCTCCTTTACTAGCAATGCTGTGGTGGCCACTGCCCAGAAGCACGTGGGCCACCCTGCTGCCACAGGGTCTAGTCTCTTAGACAGATAGGCCACAGGTCTCTTCCAGGGACCTAGAGTCTGAGTGAGAGCCCCTTTGGCAATGCACCTTACCTTACTCACATAGAGGTGGAAGGGCTGCGTGACAACTGGCAAGGCTAGGGCAGGAGCTGGGATGAGAGCCTTCTTTAGCTCCTCAAAGTCCTGTTGTTCCACTTTGGTCCAGTTCAGCATCTGAGTTCCCCCAGTACGTGTTCTTTCCAAGATCCACAGTCCTTCTTGATTTCCAAGGAAAACAGGCAGTTTATCCAGTGGCTCCCTGGACTGATGTCTTCTTAGAGGTTACGGGTCCCATCAGCTCTGTCAAGACTGAATATGCTGCCCCAGTATCCATCAGGAAACTAATAGGTTTGCCCTCCATTTGTAAGGTTAGCCTGGGGGCTTAATGGAAAGGAGCCCCTGTCATGTCAGTCCTCTTCCTCTAATTTAAAGACCCTTGGAGTCTGAGTCTCCTTTTTGCTTCTCTAGCTAACCTGCCAGGACATTCTCTCTTTCAGTGCCCCTGCTTCCTACAATAGGCATACTAATTCCTTCCTATTTGCTGCTGGCTTTTTCTTAAAAAATGTATAACCATGCCTCAAATTTTTTTTTATTATTTTAAAATATTTAGAAAAAGGCAGAGTGAGAAGGGAACAGGTCCAGTACCCTGTTCCCAGGCCTCTAGCCGCTTGAAATTTAAAATGCCACATTTTCCCTACAGATATGGTTCTCAGATTCTGATAAGCCTGAAAAGGGGAATGGGAGAATTTCTAGCTGCACCTTTAAGCCCCTAACAAAACACGGTGAAAAGTGTCCAAGGAATCACCTGGGGTTCTTGGGTCTCATTGTGGTACAGGGGGTCACAAGGGAATTTCCTCCTTGCCACCACCTCCAGCTGCTCAAAACAACTCCTGGAGAGGATGGACACCAGGTGGGTGAAGACAGGGAGCACAGCTCGGGTCCCAGGTGGTGAAGGAGGTGCTCCCACTGAGGCAGCGAGGCGTTTTCATCTGGCAGTCTGCTGGGAAAATCGCTTGCCTCCTGCCAACAAAGGAGGAACTGGTGACCCCTACACTGCAATCAGACTCCCTGACCTTTCTGAAAAGCTCCTCTGCTTGAGTGTGTTTCCATTAATCCTACTGATTTTAAAACTATAACTTAAGAATTGACACACACACACACACACAAGGACCATGTGGCCCACAAAATATTTTCCTTTTCTTCTAAATATTTTACAATGTACTGCAATCATTAATCACATCAAACTAAAATGGCCAATTGAGACAAACAGTTCTGAGACCATTTCTCCACCACTGATCAAGACTGGGTGGCAGCAGGTGTCAGAAATAAGATTCATTTCATTTTTGTTTGTTTTTTTGAGCTTGCTAGGCAGACTTGTTGACTTTGCCAGCTCAAGCTTCCTTCTTGTAAATAGTTAACTTTAGAATTTGGTCCCTGCTTTTAACCTTTTTGACCACAATTTTTACAACTTTATACCTTTAAATTAATAAACATAGACAGAAATTTTGTTAGGCGGGCCAATTCCCCTCTGACAGAGAGCAAAGCACCCCTGGGAAAAAGGAATCCCAGAGGCCACTGGGGGCGGTTTGCTATGTGTCAGAGCACTCAGCCTTAAACAAATTAAAGGTTTCTTTCTCTCTCTCTCTCTCTTTTTTTTTTCTTTCTCACAGATTTTCACACTTACATGAACAAATAATTATACTGAGGCAGACAAACAAAATATCAAACAAACGTCTGTATTTATATCCTTTCAGTAAACAAGTACTATTACAGTGTTTCAGCAAAACAGAAACGGCACTCATGTTGAACAAAGGAAACAAGACTAATACTCCAGGAACTGTGAGGGGAAAGTTATCTTACAGTCTGGCGTTGACCTGGGGAAGAGAGTGCTTAAGTCAAAAGCATTAACATCAGAGCCGTAGTTGTCCACCCTTTTCTTGAAGTGCTGAAATTTTTTCAAAAAACATTGTATAGGAGACCCAGACAAACCTTGACCCATTTTGACGAAGACCAAAACACAAAACAAATAGTCCTGACACAAACATGACAAAACACAAGACAACCAGTCCGGACACCTGGGGCTGAGGACACCGTAGTGTCCTCCAGCCAGAATCTGGAGGTTATGCCATGTCCAGCCCTCCCACAGATTCTTATCCTTGAGATCTCAACCAGAACCTGGGCGTCTTACCTCCTGAGACCGGTCTCCCCGATTTCAATAAATCCTTGCAGCTTCTGTCTCTGGCTAAGGTCCCAAAAAGGAGGGAGAGCCTCCTGACTCTTCTGGGGGGTCCCTGTCTCTTTTCTCTCGGGTATCTCGCTGGGTCCTCCAAATGTTGTGGGGTCAAACCCTGAGTTCAAAATAAGACCACCAGAGGCTGATGATTGATTAAAAAAGCAAGCAAGCATTTATTCAATCATCAGTCTCCAGGGGTCTTATTTTGAACCCAGGGTTTGACCCCACAACACCCCTATGCTATATTTTAGATCCCAGTGACTATTTTGTAACTGCCAATTTGTACTTCTTAATCCTTTCACCTTTTCACCCAATCCCCCAAATCCTCTCCCCTCTGGCAACTATGAGTCCATTTCTATTTTGTTAGTCAGTTTATTTTGTTCATTAGATTCCATGTCTATAATAATTAGACTGGATGTCCTTCTGGACGTCCTTCCTTTTGGACAAAGCCTCAGTGGGTGGGGACCTTGGCAGAGGCCCTTGCATAAATTTTGTGCATGTGGACTGTAGTGTAAGCAAAATCACGTGGTATTTGTCTTTCTTTGCCTGATTTATTTCACATAGCATAACACCCCCTAGGTTCATCCACATTGTCACAAATTGTAAGATTTTATTCTTTTAGCCAAGTAATCCTATATAATAAAAGAGTAGTATGCAAATTGTCCCCTTAACAGGGGATTCCTCTGGGAAATTGACCAGGGGTTGGAGCAGACCAGGGGAAGGGAGGGAGGCCACAGCTACAGGGACCCTATCAGTGCATGAATTTCATGCACTGGGCCTCTAGTACATATATATGTAGCCACCAAGTTTCGATTAAGAAAAAGTATCTTGCCAAAAAAAATCTATAGACTTAGAAGATTGTTAAGGAATAGAAACATCTCTCTTATATATGTTTCTTACAAAAAGAAATACTGAGTAAACTTTTTTTGAGGCTAGTATTAATTTCAAAAAAAATTTTTTAATATATTTTATTGATTTTTTACAGAGAGGAAGAGAGAAGGACAGAGAGTCAGATACATCGATGAGAGAGAAACATCGATTAGCTGCCTCTTGCACACCCCCTACTGGGGATGTGCCCGTAACCAAGGTATATGCTCTTGACCGGAATCGGACCTGGGACCCTTCAGTCTGCAGGCCACACTCTATCCATTGAACCAAACCGGTTTTGGCAATTTCAAAATTTTTAATTAAAATCTTAATTTTCAGCCATGGGTGGTGTAGCTAAGTTGGTTTAGCGTCATCTTGTGAATCTAAAGATCCCTGGTTCAATCCTGGTGGAGGCATATGCACAGGCTCTGGGTTTGATTCCTGAGTGTGGCACATGGCGAAGAAATATGATCGACGTCTCTTTTTCACATCCACATTTCTCTCTCTCTTTCTTCCTTTCCATCTAAAAAATAAAAAACTGTTTGAAAGTCAGAAAAAAATTAAAAAAAATAAAGTTATATTTCAGCTTTACTTATAAACAAACTTCCCAGAATGGTTTAACATTAAAAAATATGTCAATCTAATTTATCATATTAGTGAACAACTATAGAAAATCCATATAATCATCTCAACAAGTACAAAAAAAAATAAGTTCAACAATCTATATATGAGAAAGCCACAGAACATGGAAATAGTAAAACATTTTTTAAACTTGATAATATCCTTAATAGAAAAATATCATATTTAGAGTAATTTCAGACATGATCTTTAAATTCAAAACAAGACAAATATAATTGTTGTTTATGATATTCTATATTAAAAAGGTGTAAGGATTGGAAAGAAGGAAAAATGTTATTATGTGCAAGAAAAAGATGATTATCTACAAAACCATTAGATCAACAGAAAAACTTTGAATTAATAGAATTTAGTCAAGTTTTCAAACACAACTTAATTTACAAAATCAGAACTGTTCCTAAACTATTAATAACAGCTATAAATTTTTATCAAAAAAGAAGAGCTCATCTACTGATGAGCACTTGGGCTGTTGTAAATAATGCTGCTATTAATATATGAGTGCATATATTCTTTTGATTGGCATTTCAGGCTTCTTAAGATATATTTCTAGAAGTGGGATCACTGAATCAAATGGCAGTTCCATATTTAATTTTTTGAGGAAACTCCATACTATTTTCCATAATGGCTGCACCAGTCTGCATTCCCACCAGCAGTGTATTAGCATTCCTTTTTCTCCACATCTTCACCAGTATTTGTTGTTTGTTGATTTATTAATGATAACAATTTTGGTATGTGTGAGGTGATACCTTATTTCTCTTTTAATTTACATCTCTTTGATGATTAGTGATGTTGAGCATTTTTTTTTTTTTCATGTCTCTTGGCAACTTGTATGTCCTCTTTGGAGAAGTGTCTATTCAGATGCTTTGCCCATTTCTTAATTGGGTTATTAGACTTCAGTTTGTTGGGTTGTATGAGTCCTTTATATATTTTGTAAATTAACCCCTTATCAGATGTATCATTGGCAAACATGTTCTCCTATACAATGAATTCCCTTTTCATTTTGATGCTGTTCTCTTTTGCTTTGCCGAAGCTTTTTATTTCGATGTAGTATTGTTGTTTATTTTTTCTTGTTTCTCCTGCCCTATGCATTGTATCAGTGAAAATTCTGCTACATGACATGTCTTATATTTTGCTGCCTACTTTTTCTTCTAGGATTTTTATGATTTCAGGATTTACATTTAAATCCTTTATCTATTTTGAGTTTATCCTTGTTTTTGGTGTAAGTTGGTGGACTAGTTTCATTTTTTGCATATACCTGTATAATTTTCCCAACACTATTTATAGAAGAGACTGTCTTCACTCCATTGTTGTCAAATATTAATTTTGTATAATGGGTTGGGTTCGATTTCTGGATTCTTTGTTCTGTTCCATTGAGCTATATGAGTGTTCTTGTGCCAGTACCAGACTGTTTTGATTAAGTGGCTTTATAGTATAAATTGATATTGAGATCTCTCCAATTTTGTTCTTCTTTCTCAATATTACTGCAGCTAATAATGGTCTTTATTGGTTCCATATAAATTTTTGGAGTGTTTCTTCTAGATCTGTGAAATGTGCTGTTGGTATTTTAATAGATATTGCATTAAATCTATAGATTGCTTTGGGTTGTATGGACATTTTAACGATGTTAATCCTACCAATCCATGAACACTGTATAGTCTTCTACTTGTCTGTAGCTTCCTGTTTGGAGCTATCAGCAATCTATTGCTGTGGCTCACTCTGCTGAGGTTGTGTGAATTTGGAAAGGACCAAGATGCACACCAAAGTCTGCTTTCCTAGCCTGAGTCTAGAAGCAGATCAGGCAAAGAATCAAAGCATCCAGAGATCTGCTTCTGCCTGCAGGATGATTGTTACACAGCAGGGTGTAAATTCCATATAGTAGAGTAAGAGATTTTCAGGGGGTGTGGTAATTGCTTCCCTCCAGGCAAAAGCTACATAATGATAAAGACCAAAATTGCACAAAAATTACCTGCAGATCTACCTATAATTGATATATCCCTCTGGAATTTCAGTTAGTGTCTGTGAGAGAAAGATGTCCTCTGTAGTTTGTAGGAATGATTCAGTGCAGGGATCCAGGAGGCTGTCCTCTGAGCTCTATCCCCAGAGCCACCAACCCCAGATCCTCCTCATACAACTCCAGTCCACTCTGCCCTCTCTCTGCTGGAGCCCAAGGTGAGTGACTGCACATGAGATTTTGTGCATTGACCCTTTAGTGGGGTCCCTGCATTTCCATCTGTCTATCTCTGGCAAACAGCAACCCCACAGCTTTCACAGCCAGATGTTATATGGGCACCTTTCCAAGTTCTGGTCCTTTGGGCTTGGAGTCTAGTTTGTGTTTAGACCTCAGACTTTTCAGGGGGAACTCCCCAACTGAGATATCCCTCTAAAACTTCATCTGTTGCCTGTGGGAACCCGGCCAGCCCTCTCACACCTCTGCACTTCCTTCCAGTATCAATGTGACCTCCTCTTTATGTCCCTGGTTTTAATGGTTCTCTCCAGCAGTCTTCAGTTGGTTATTCAAGATGATATTTCTATATTTTTGTTGTAATTCCAAGTTGATTCTGGGAGAATGTCAGTATAGCTTCTACTTAATCCTCTGGCATCTTGGAATCTGTGTTATATCTTTTCATTGACTACCTGTCCCCACTGAGATAGATGTAAGCTTCTGAAAGCAAAGAACCTGTCTGTTTTAGTGTGCCTGTATCTCTGACACTGAGAACAGTGCATAGCACAGACATGCTAGCAGAATTTGTTTAATAAATGAGTTGACAAATTATTACATTATTCCTGTAAAGTAACATCACTTTCATCTTTCTGTGGCTTTTTTTCAGTAGTTTATTCCTTGCTTCACATCTTAGTGGATCCTCTTCCCCCATTTGTCTAAAGTTCATGTTCTCTCCTGTTAAAAATCTGTCTTTAAGAAAGAGTCCTAAACTCAATTACCATAAGCAGTAATAATTACTAACAGCTTACCTTTAAATCAACTGCAATTAGGATATCAAAGATAAACCTTTGACTGCAAGAATTACCAAGCATTTGGAGAAGAGTTTTCCATGATGGTTCTTTCCATGACATATTTTGCTAGAGCCCTAGGAATTTTTTTCCAGATTTGAAAATGTCCAGTTTTCTACCTCTCTATCACTGATAAGTACCATGTTTCCCCGAAAATAAGACATCCTCCGAAAGTAAGACCTACTTACAAGTTTCCTTCTGAGTGAAATATAAAGCATCCCCCAAAAATAAGGCCCCCGTAGGCTAAACATGAGAGATTTGGTCCACTAATTCTGAAAGAAATGGAGTCATGAGAAATTCACCAGGAAATTCAGGAATTGGATTGTTCTGATGATGTTCCAGAAAATGATGACATGATTGTCATTGAATAAATGAGTAAATTCTTGATACTGTAGTATTCACAGTTTGTCTGGTTTGTGTTGACAACTACTGTACTACCATACCATATACAGGTAATAAATTTCCTTTATTTTCATTTAAAAATAAATGTGTACCATATTCTTCTTCATAAAAAAATAAGACATTCCCTGAAAATAAGACCTAGCACATCTTTGGGAGAAAAAATTAATATAAGACACTGTCTTATTTTAGGGGAAACAGGGTAGTAATACAACTTACTTTTTCTTTCTCCAAACGATATAAAGGATGATAAGTACTACCTGTAGTAAACTAAAGAGGATAATTACCAGCCACATGTAAGAAGAGACAGAAGTACCTGAAAAACACAAACCAGAAACATGGTTTTTTGTTTGTTTGTTTTGAATGAAAGCAAAGTTTTATTACAGAAAAGCTCCCTGCTGCAGGGAGGGGACCCAAGTGGATTGCCCCAAACATGTTCTTTGTGACTATACTTCTTACTATATATTTGTACTGCCATTTTGACTTTTTTTACATTCAAATTGATGTTATGAAATTATTTGCTATATTCTGGTTTATGAAAGAATATACTCTTGCATATTGAAATTGAAGACAGACAATACTTAATACTATGCTATTACTCTCAAGTAAAAAAAAAAAATGTAAGCACCTAAATATTCACCTAGATTTAGATATCTAAAAAATTTTAAACAAAGTAAATATAACATAGTCACTTGAAGAAATATTGCCCAATTACTAAATGGAATTTCCAAAGACTTTTTAATATCCTCTAAAAATAAATTCGTAATCATAATTATTAGTATTTGAGATTTATATTCTAAGCAATGTTATAAGCATTTCATAAGGATTATTTACATCAACTAGGATAATTCAGTTATCAGATACAAATGGGAAAATAAGAGCTCTGGGATGTCAAAAAAAAATAAAAAATTCTCCTAAGATGGAAAGTGGCAAAACGGGGAAGCAAAGTCAGTTCGGACTCCAGAGACTGTACTCTTAAGGAAAAACAAATTATAAAATTGTAAGTATCAACACTTTTTACTGTAGCTATGTTGACTACAGTGTTTGTAAATTACATTAAGTAGTCCCTCCTTTATTTGCAATCTTAGTTACCAGAGGTTAACAGCAGTCTGAAAATATTTCATGAAAAATCCCAGAATTAAACAATTTATACATTTTAAATTGTATGTTGTTTTGAGTAACATGATGAAACCTCAAGCTGTTTCACATTGTTTTCTCCATCCCACTTCTCTCTGCCTGGGATGTGAATCACCCCTTTGTCCAGTGCTACCTACCTGCCCACTAGTCACTCAGGAGCCATCACGGTTATCATATCCACACTCAAGGTTTCTTAGTGCTTGTGTTCAAAGAACCCTTATTAGTTTATAATGGCCCAAGTACAAGAGTAGTGATGCTGGCAACCAGAATATGCCAAAGATAAACTATAAGGTGCTCTCTTTAAGTACAAAGGAATTGTTAAGTCTGATTAAATAATGGAATCAATACTCCCTCCCCTGGGAAACTGACCTTTAGATAATTTCACAACCGACATTCTCTTTCTCTTACACATTCTATTTGCAAAGACCAGTAACTTTTCCCTCTGGACTTGCACAGGATCTGGACCCACCCAGAGAATTTCCAGCCAAAAAAAGCTCACCTAGAGTCCTTTAAAATCTCTGACTCCCCATCCCTGGGTGCTGGTGCCATGTTGGGGCTCAGCCCATCTGGTTTACAGATGATCTAATAAATGTATAAGTCTTTACCACTTTTGGCCTCATGCATATCTCCTTCAGCAACCCTAACATGGAATGTTCTCAATAAGGAAAAAAAAAATCATATGCTGAGGTTGTTGAAGTCTATGGCAAGAATAACCCTTCTATTCATGAAGTTGTGAAAAAGAAAAAAAAAATGTTGTGTTAGTTTTGCTGTCACACCTTAGACACTTGAGGCCCGGTGCATGAAATTTGTACATGGGGGCAGGGAAGGGGTTGTTCCTCAGCCCAGCCTGCACTCTTTCCAATCTGGGACATCCCTCTCACAATCCAGGACTACTGGCTTCCAACTGCTTTCCTGCCTGCCTTCCTGATTGCCCCTAACCACTTCTGCCTGCCAGCCTGATAACCCTCTAACCACTCCCATGCCAGCCTGATTGATGTCTAACTGCTCCCCTGCCAGCTTGTTTGTCCCCAACTTCCCTCCTCTGCCAGCCTGGTCACCCCTAACTGCCTTCCCCTACAGGGTTGATTGCCTTCAACTGCCCACCCTTGCAGGCCTGGTCCCTCTCAGCTGCCCTCCCTTGCAGGCCTGGTGCCTCTCAACTACCCTCCCCTGCTGTCCATCTTGTGTCCACATAGGGACAGGATCTTTGACCACATGGGTTCAGCCATATTGTGTGTTGGAGTGATGATCAATCTGTATATTGCTCTTTTATTAGATAGAATAGAGGCCTGGTGCATGGGTGGGGACCAGCTGGTTTGTCCTGAAGGGTGTCCCAGATCAGGGTGGGGTTCCCTTGGAACATGAGGTGGCCTGAGCGAGGGGCCTGTGGTGGTTTGCAAGCTGGCCAAGCCCCCCAGTGACCCAAGTGGAGGCCCTGGTATCTGAGACATATTTACCTTCTATAATTGAAACTTTGTAGCCTGGAGTGGAGCCAAGCCTCCTGATTATTCCATGGTGGCAGCCATTTCTGTTTGGATTTGTTTACCTTCCATAATTGTAGCCTGGAGTGGAGGCTTAGGTCGGCAAGGGCAGGCAGAAAGCTTGGCTTCCTCCATTGCCTTGCCAGGGAAATACCTCCCTCTTGCTCTCTGTGGTTGTAGCCATCTTGATTGGGTTTATTTGCATTATCGCTCTGATTGGATGGTGGGCATGGCTTGTGGGGCTGAAGGATGGTTAATTTTCATATTACTCTTTTATTAGGTAGGATAATGGTTATAGTTAAGTATGTGATAAGTGCTTAGATATTTTGAGAGATCACATTCTATTAACTTTTATTACAGTAAATTGTTATATGATTATTTACTGTTGTTAATTTCTTGTTGTGCCTAATTTATAAATTATACTGTATTATAGGTGTATATGCATAGGAAAAAAACAGCATATGTAGGGTTGAGCACTATTTGTTGTTTCAGGCATCCACTGGGATTCTGAGAATGTATGAACTAACTTCTTTCTGTATAGCATTCTGAATACATTTTACATTTTTTTATTGCAATTTAAGTTTAACAAAGGTTATAATTATGATTATCAACAATAGTTCATGGACATAATATAAAACTAGACCTATATATTATAGATGAACCTTAAGAAAATGTGAAGTTTTATTAAATGGCATGAGCTATTATGTATTTTGCATCCTTAGGACTGCTCATTACAGGTTTTATTTTGTTCTATTTCTGATTGTCATAATGATGTCATTTCTCTGTTCATTATAACCTCTCCTCCCTTCTTCATTTGCTGCTTTGAATTTTCTTTAGCCATTGATGGAAAACAGAAATTCTTGTAGCAATTGCTTCTTCCCTGAGATGCTCTTAGAAAGTGCATGAGTTTTAAATGAGGATTTTTGCGTCATTTATTTTTAACTACCGTGTTTCCCCGAAAATAAGACCTAGCGCATGGAAGATAAGACATCCCCTGAAAAGAAGACCTAGCGCAACTTCGGGAGAAAAAATTAATATAAGACACTGTCTTATTTTCGGGGAAACAGGGTATTTAACAATCACTTTAGCTCAGTTTCTAGTTTTAACTATGTGTGTGTGTGTTTTTGTTTTTTTTTCAATAAGATACTACATAACTCACTCAAAATAGGTGGAGGAAGCTGAATGGGAAGAATTTGACACTAAAATGTGAACAGAGCCCTGAATTTAAAAATGAATAAAACATAGGGAAGTAAAGCTCTAGTCAATATTTCAGCAGATTTAGAGATTTATGTCCCAAAAATTTATTCCATAGTTAAGCAAGAAAGAGTCATCTTCTAAATTAAAGTTTCATGATTGGAAGCTTTGTTAATCTTGTCTTGATAATGATCAAATTGTATTTCCTTACTCATAGTATATTCATATGTATTTCCTTACTAGGAAATACATATGAATATACTAGGTTAAACCTTACAAAATTACTTATTTTATAAATAAAAAATATTGAATGATATCAACATTATATGGTTCAATATAATATTATCGGTGAAACTATTGAAAGAACTCTTAATTGTTGCCTTCAATGATTACCTGCTGAATTACACAGATGTTGACAGTGCCACATATAGTGACAGTCACGGTTGTTAATGTCAAAGAGATAAACGAATGTAACACAGACTAATGAGCCTGAGACTAATTAAATAGGGTAACAGGCAATAATAAGCTCAAGAAGAAATATTATTTTATTGCCTGTGAAACATAAAAAACAAACTATTAGTATATAACTAACACTATTGGATAACTTATACAGTTATCTGTGATAGATGATGTGATTTTATCATAGATTAAGAGGTAAGCAAGATGACCTCACCATCACTGATACCCAAAGCTGAGTCTGTAGTATTTACCCAAACATAAGAGGATCAAGGAAATGATATATTCTTCAGGAGGAATATATCTTCTGGAAAAAGAGAGAAACTCTAGCTAGCAGATAAGTCAGGATCTCTTCTCTATTTCTTTAGGAAACATCTAAGGCTATATGATGAGGGTGGGAATTTGTGCTTTCTTTCATTTTGGGGTCAAAGCACATTAATTTCAGGCCACGTGACAAGAGTGTTGTTGACAAAGAGGATTTGGAAATATAGTTGTAAAAGATAAAAAGGTGATAGTCAGTATAAAATTGGATAATAAGTTTTGATTCTAGCAATAATCTAGGTGGTTTCTGAGAACATGAAGAAAATTTGCACAAATTATTGTTAAAATTTTTTGAAGATATCAAAGACCTACTGAGTCATTAGAATTTGTAGGACCAAGACCCAGTAAAAGTTGAAAGTAAAAAGGACTAAGCCTGATAATTCCATATACTTTTGATTTGCTAATGGCTATATATTATGAATATACTAAAAATCATTACACATTTTAAATGGGTGAATGGTATAATATGTGAGATATATCACAATAAAGCTACGGCACCCTGGCTGATGTTCTCAGTGGTTAGAGTGTTGGATTGTGCACCAAAAGGTCATGGGTTATATTCCTAGTCAAGGGCATGCACCTGGGTTGCAGGTTCAATCCATGGCCCCAGTCAGGCTCCTGTAGAACAGCGTTTTTCAACCGCTGTTCCGCGGCACACTAGTGTGCTGCAAGATGTTGCCTGGTGTGCCATAGGTGCAGACAAGACAAGAATTTTATAATTTTTCACTATTTTGTTTACTTAATATTTCATAATAAAGTAATTATAAAATACTTTCTTTGTGTTTATTTGATTCCTATTCAAGAGAATTACTTTATATATAGTCAATATAGGCACAGTTAAATTTTTTAACATTTTCTAATGGTGGTGTGCCTCGTGATTTTTTTCATGAAACAAGTGTGCCTTTGCCCAAAAAAGGTTGAAAAACACTGCTGTAGAAGGCAACCATTTTCTCTCACATGGATGTTTCTCTCTCTCTCTCTACTCCTTTCCACTGTTTCTAAAACTCAATGGGAAAAATATCCTCAGGTGAGGATTAACAAAAAGAATAATGAAATAAAATTAATGAAGTTATAACAAAGAAAACAGTCTGAGCTTTAATCATCTCTGCAATATTTCACATACAAAGTTTAGCATTCATTAAGAAATAGCTATAAAAGTCAACATTGGCTAGAAACTATGATAGAAAGACAGATAATGGAAAGAGACACTCTCCCCCCCCCCCAAAAAAAAAAAAAATCCAAGTTTTGGAATTCTCAAATACAGAATTTAAGATACATCTAATTTAATTGTTATACATCTAATATACTTGTAATTAGAGACCCAGAAAAAGATGAGAGGGAATGGGACCAAAGCAATACTTGAAGAAATGATGGCCAAACATTTTCCGAAAATGATGAAGAACATTAATCCGCAGATTCAAGACTCTTGGGAAAATGCAAGCACTTTAAATACAAAATTGCAACACCAAGGCACATAATAATAAAACTGATGTAGAAGAAAGAAATCTTAACAGCAGCAGAGGTAAGAGGAGGAAATGTGTTGCTTTCAAAGAACCACCGATAAAATTGGCACATATCTTTTCAGCAGAAACAATGAAAGTCGAAAGTTACTGTCAAAGATTGCTGCTGTCAAAGTGATGAAGGGAAACCCTACCAAATTGGAATTAGGAATTCTGCAAAAATGTTCTTCAAATGTTAAAACATTTTATGACCAAAACAATTTAAAAGAACTGACCATCTTTACACCTCCACTAGGACAAATTTCATTAGTCAGAAGAAAAATGAAAGTTTGAAAACGGATAAAGAAAGGAAAGCCAACAGAAAGGGTAAGTTAAGAAAACAATGCTATAAATAACAGAAACAGCAATGATACATTTGGTATTTAAATATATAAACAATTAAAATGCCCCAAACCATAGCACAAAGAATGAGAATTGATATATGCTCATTGCATTATCTGGAAAGTTGTAAAAGTGCTAAATTCTATTGAGTTTTAACAAGTTAATATTCCCCAAAATATCCATTTAAAGAAGGGTAAAGAAATGTATGGTTAAAAAACTAATTGGGAGGGGGGGGATAAAATAAAAATATAATTAAAAGAATTCAGAAAGAGAGAAATGAAACACGTCAGATAATACAAAATAAATGCTAAGATGGAAGATTAAAAACCCAAACATATCAGCACTAACATGAAACATATAAAGAAGCAAAATGCTTTATTTAGTTTTAAAAGATTATTAAGTAGAATATAAAAATGTTATTCAAATTCTATAAGAAAGTATTTTATTTAAATATATAAATTTGGGAAAATTGAACAGATACATGCTAAAAAATGAAACTGGACCATCAATTTGCACCATACACAAGAATAAACTAAAAATGAATAAAATACCTAAATGTAAGTTGGAAAACCATAAAAATCCTAGAAGATACCATAGGCAGCAAAATCTCAGACATCTCTCGTAGCAATATGTTTACCAATATATCTCTCAGGGCAAAGGAAACAAAGGAGAAAATAAACAAATGGGACTGCCTCAAAACAAAAAGCTTCTGCACAGCAGAAGAAACCATCAACAAAATGAAGGGGAGCCCAATCTATGGGAGTACATATTTGGCAATGATATATCAATAAAGGCTTAATATCCAAAATATATAAGGAACTCATAAAAACTTAGCAAAAAGAAGACAAACAATACAATTTAAAAATGGGCAAAAGGTCTAAATAGATACTTCTCCAAAGTGGATGGCCAAGAGACATATGAAAAAAATGCTCAAAGTCATTGATCATCAGAGAGATGCAAATTAAAATGACAATGAGGAATTACCTCACACCTGCCAAAATGGCTACCACCAACAAATCAACAAATGATAAGTGCTGGCAAGGATGTGGAGAAAAGAAAATCTTAGTACACTGCTGGTGGGAATGCAGACTGGTGTGGCCATTGCGGAAAACAGTATGGTGTTTCCTCAATAGATTAGATAGGAAATTGCCATTTGACCAAGTAATCCCACTTCTAGCAATATATCCTTAGAAACCCAAAACACCCATCAGAAAAAATGTATACATCCCTGTTTTCATAGCAGCACAATTTTCAATAGGTAAGATTTGTAAAGAGCCCAAGTGCTCATCAGGAGATGAGTGGATAAAAAAATAGTGGTACATTTATACCATGGAATACTAAGTAGTAATAAAAAGAAGAATCTCTGAACCAGCATAGAAGGACCTGGAGAGTGTCATGTTAAGTGAAATAAATCCCAGAAAGACAAGTATCACATGATCTCACTCATATGTGGAATCTAATTAAACAAAATAACTGATGAATGGAGCGGATCTAGGAACATGGAAGCATGAAATAGAGTGCAGATTCTCAGAGGGAAGTTGGGGGTGGGTAGGTGGGTGGGAGGTAATAAACCAAAGACCTTGTATGAATATATGCATAACACATGGACTAGACAGAAGGGTGGTGAGGGCCTGGGATGAGATAGGCTGGAGGGGGTCAATAGGGAAGAAAGGTGACATAAGTAATACTTTTAACATTAAAGAGTTTTAAAAAATAAAAGATTATTAGGTGGAATAGAAAAACTTTATTTAAATTCTATAAGAAATGATATTATTTAAATATATAAATACATTTATAAATTACTTTTATAAATTACATTTATAAAATGTATAAAATACATTTATAAATTATTTTAATTTCTTAGGAAAATCATACCTTGCTTATTATGGCTCTGAAACAGAAGATACGGATGATTGACCGAGCTTGAGAGGAAGGTGGGAAATCAAAAATGAGTAGGAAGAAAGACTTTGTATGCAGATAAACAATGAACAAGTTTAACCATTTTATTGAAAGTTGCAGAGGTAAGGAGCAAAATAATTAAATTGGAAGGAAACAAATTACATTGGGAAGCAGAAAAGTTGAAGAAGATGTAAATGTCCTAATGTTCATTGACTGGCAGAAAGTCAGGGAAAGCATACGGGGAGAACAATTAACTATGTGCCATTAGAGCTATTATTCCCGAAAGCAGGTTTGGATGAGAGAACATCTTCATTACTTATTTCTTTAGCCATGCACGTGCATTACATTGACTTACTACATTTTTATTTATTTATTTTTCTTTTCATTTTTTTAATTAAGTTATATGTGTACATATCTTACCATTGCCCCCTGATTTACATTTTTAAAAGTAGATGACTGCACAAACACTTCTGGCAGTGAATTTTAAAGATAAATATTTCCCCTCATTGATTATTACTTCTACTTACATTCTTGTTGGAGAGACAAAGGGACAATCTTCTCTTCATTCCTCTGAGGATGATCCATGTGCACAATCAGTTTTTGGAGTCTTAGGGATCTCACAGTCTCCAAGGAGATGTTGTACATTTTAGTGATAGTCACTGTGCCATTTGGGTTGTGTACAAGGTATTCTTTTGGTGGATTAATTAAGACTTGTGATGGAAAGACAGATATTTGAGGAACAGGTTTCCCCACAGCTGAGGAAGTAAATTTAAGAAAATCTTCAGAGCCAAGATTGGACTGGAGTTCAGTTTTAAATTCAGATACAGCTAAGGCAGAAAGGAAAAAAAGAAAGAGAAAAAACAAAATTAAATATAAAAATATGTCATACCAGATTTCTATGATGGCAAAAATGAACTTCCCAAAATCTCTATATATAAAGCCCAAGCAACCGTTCAACTGTTCTATCAGTAGCTATGATGTGCACTGACCACCAAGGGGCAGACGCTCAATGCACAGGCATGAAAACATGGAACAGTGGGCAGTGACTTGCAGGGCCACAGAGGCAGCGGCAGTGGTGGCTTCGGGCAAGACCGGAGAGGTGGGGAGGCAGGAGAGGTAATGGTGGTGGGAGGGAAGCATGCCGGAAGTCTTGCAGGAATCTTCCTAAGCAGGCCCCCAGTTTGTACATAAAACCCAAATGTTAGAAACATGTCCCTCTCAGATACCTCTCAACACATTTAAAAAACAAATCTCATCATTCCTTTTCTTATATCCACTACCATCCAATTTAAAAACAATTGGTATCTCCACATTCACTAACCCTTAAAATTACATTATATAAACCCCACTATTTTAAATGTATAGCAACATAACTAGGTGACACTATCGCTGTCCCTTCAACGTTTTGTTCATATGAAGATTGGGAAATTGTTACTCTCTTAGAGTCTTCTCTTTCCCTCTTTCTCCTTCTCTACTATTTCTTTTCCTTTTCCTGACTTTCCCTTATGAAAACCTTTATGTGGATCATGAATTTTACCCACTCGATTAAAGTCAGTGCAAAAAAGTTACATAGAGGGCAGAACTAAATGCTATGCCTGGTTTTCAACTATGTATGTGAAAATGGGCAATTTATGTAACTATTATTAACTTCCATTTTTTTTCTTCTGTAAAATAATAATTTTTAAAAATTCTTTCTCTGGACCTTAACCTTCAAAGACCACATCCCCATGTTATTTACTCTACATAAAAATTGTATACTTATGATGGTAAGGCAGATTTGTCCTTCCTGACTGCCCTGAGGAAACACATTAAACAGACATTTGTAGCAGGCTTCGTCTTCAAACGTCACTTTGTGAATAGTGATGAATGAGGAATTGGGTTCGATGACCTTGCAGTGCAGTCGATCTATGTATGGTGGAAGAATCTTTTCTCCATATTTACTGCTATACGTGCCAATATTTTGTGGCAAAGAATCTTGGACCTTCTGCCAGGTAATTTGCACAACATCTGCTTGAATTGTTAGATTGCAGAAAATTGTCACATTTCCTCCTAATACAGCTGTCTCCTTATTTTTGTGCTGTATTCTGTGTGGAGAACCTGCAAATAAAACCCAGTGTGTTATGCTAAGGAAGTAAAGTCAGTCAGAGAAAAACAAATACCATATGATTTCACCTACATGTGGAATCTAAAGAACAAAATGAACAAAACAGAAACAAAGTCATAGATATAGAAAACAAACTGATGGTTGTCAAAGGGGAAGACAAATGGGGGACTGGGTGAAAAAGGTGAAAAGATTGAGAAGTGTAGATTTGTTAGCTACAAAACAGTCATGTGGATATATAGTACAGCATAGAAAATATATGCTAATTGACCCTCACACTGTTGCAAAGATGGTAGTGCCCACAGCCAATAAGAAGGGAACATACTAATTGACTTCCATGCCCTCCAAAATGGCAGCATCCACAGCCAATAAGGAGGAAATATGCTAATTGACTGCCATACCCTCAAAGATGGTGGTGCCCACAACCACAAGATGGTGGCACCCAGTCCCCTCAGCCTCGCTAGAACGCCTGCCTCTGGAGTCCCCCAGTCCCCTCAGCCCCCCAACCCCCAGGGCTGGCCCTTGATGCAGGCAAGCCTTGAATGTCAGTCTCTCAGCCGCCCAGGGCCACCCGAGGCTCAGGTAACCAGGGCCAGCTCAGGCTTGCACTGCCGGGAATGGCAGCAGCAGAGGTGTGATGGGGGCATCGCCTTCCCCTAATCACTGGGTTGCCTGTCGTCCTCGTACTGTGAGAGGGGGCAGGCTGGGCTGAGGGACCCCTCCTGCAGTGCATTAATTTCCATGCACTGGGCCTCTAGTATTGTAATAACTATGCATGATGCCAGATGGATACTTGAATTATTGAAGAGGAACCACTATGTAAATTATGTAATTGACTAACCACTATGTTGTATACCTGAAACTAATATAAAATATCTAGAAGCCTAGTGCAAAAAATTCATGCACTGAGGGGGAGGGGAGTCCCTTAGCCTGTCCCGCGACCTCTCGCAGTCCAGGAGCTCTCGGGGGATTTTCGACTGATGGCCTAAGCCAGCAGTTGGACATTCTTAGCACTGCCATGGAGGTGGGAGAGGTTCCCATCACTGCTCCTGTGCTCGCCAGCTAGAGTCTGGCTTCTGGCTGAGCAGCACCCCCATATGGGAACACACTGACCACCAGGGGGCAGCTCCTGCATTGAGTGTCTGTTCCTGGTGGTCATTCCACTGTTTGGTCAATTTGCATATTAGCCTTTTATTATATATAGGATAGTGAATATGAACTGTAACAGAAAAATTTTAAACTAAATAAATAATTTAAAAATTGGCAAAAAAATATCTGAACATAACTCACCAAATATATATATATATACACACACACACACAAATGACAAATAAGCATATGAAAAGATGTCCAAAATCTTTTGTCATTAGGAAATTGCAAATTAAAACAGTAATGGGAGCCCACTATATACATTTTAGGAAGGCTAAATGAAGAATTTAATTACAATACCAAATGCTTGTGAGGATGTGGACAAACACAGAAGCTCTCATTATTGCTGATAGGAATGAAAAATGGTACAGCCAGTTTAAATGACATTTTCTTTTTTTTAAAAAAAAAAATTTCTATTAATTTCAGAGAAGAAATAAGAGGTAAAGAGAGAGATAGAAATATCAACGGTAAAAGAGAATCAATGATCATCTGCCTCCAGCATGCCCATCACTGGGGATGGAGCCTGCAACCCAGGAATGTGCCTTGACCAGAAATTGAAACATGACCTCTTGGTTCATAGGTTGATACTCAGCCACTGAGCCATGGGAGCCAGGCAGTTTGACAGTTTCTTTAAAAAAACACACAAAAAAACTAAACATTCTCTTACCATATGACAAGGCAATTGTACTCTTAGGCATTTACTCAACTGATTTAAAAATTTATATTCACACAAAAGCCCTATGTACCCATCCAGTAATCCCACTTCTGGGAATACATCCTAAGAACATCCAAATACTAATCAGAAAGAATATGAACCCCTATGCCCATAGCAGTGTTTTTTACAATAGTTATGATTTGGAAAGAGCTTATATGCCCATCAGTACATAAATGGATAAAAAAGAAAACAAACAAACAAACAAACAAAAACTGTGATGCATTCACACCGGGGAATACTATACAGCAGTAAAAAGAAGCTCTTACCATTTGGGGCAGCATGGATGGACTTTGAGACTATATGCTAAGTGAAATAAGCCAGTTAGTAAAAGACAAGTATCATATGATCTCACTTATATGTGGAATCTAATGAACAAAATAAACTAATGAACAAAATAGGTCCAGGGGCATGGATGTATGAAACTGAATAACAGATATCAGTGTGGGGTGTGGGGATAGGACAGAAAGAGATAACCAAAAATCATATATTCATACTAGAGGCCCAGACCATGAATTTGTGCAACATTGGAGTCCCTTGACCTGTCTTGCAGGGATTGGACAGAAAACAGGCTGGTGCATGAATTCATCCAGGGTATATCAGGCCCATCTCACCCAGTCCCAATAGGGCCAACTCACCCAGTTCAAATTGGCTGGACTCCAGTAGCAATCTAACCTATTGATCAGAGCGTCTGTCCCCAGGTGGTCAATGTGCATCATAGCGACTGGTCAAACAGTCGAACAAATGGTAGGACACTTTAACATATTAGGCTTTTATTATATAAGATTGCATAACCCATGAACACAGATAATAATGTGGGTAAGGTCTGGAGTGGGTTGGGAGTTGGGTTGAGGGATGTAAAATAGGGAAAATGAGACCCCTGTAATACTGACAATAAAAATTTTTAAAAATGAGCAGAAGGGAAAAACACACCCACATACATATGTTTATAGCAGCCTTATTAATAATCACCCTGTTAGTACCTGCAGACCCAGGCAAAGGTCCTGGCACTAAAAATCTACTTCCATGAGTGGAGGGCAGGGAAATACAGAAGAAAGAAGCTGGCCACTCCAGCCTGGTAATTAATGGAGTTTAGTAAGGGAGGCTGCAAAACGAAATGGCTCTTTGAACCACTTAGCATGCACCAGAGAATCATATTGGGGAAGGAGAGGGATAGTCATGTGTAAAAGTGGGGATTGATATCAAGTTCAGTAAATTGCTTTATGTGCTTGGCCAGCTTAGGACAATGAGAATGTTTCCAGACCAAGCTTGTATCAGGAAGCAGGAGGCAGGTGCTGGTTTGTATCAAAATACATGGTGATTAAGATCAAAACAGCCTTCAAGTGAGTTTCATGATGAGCATTGTCCCTTTTGGCTGGGTCCAGCTTGTGGGACCCAAGCAGACTTCCTTCGCACCTCACCCCTCTTGAGCATCTCTTAGAATTTCACATGCCCCCCCTTTTGCCAGGTACCCTAAGAGTCAGCAGGGGCTTCAGTAGCAGGGAGACAGATTGTGTGTTGCCTGTTGATTGCACTGGAGACATAGTTGGCAGCAAAAATATAGACAAATGCAAGACAATAGGCAAATTGAAAGAAGCAGTCCAAGTATCCATAATGATTTTTCTTTTTAACCATATTCCCAAAGACCCAAACCTGTGTGTTTAGTAATCAGCTTGGCTTGGGTGTTGGATCCCTTAAGGCATTTACTTGGGTTTTCATGTGTGTAAACAGGTAGAGCTATGAGCACATTCATCTGGTGTGAAAACAACATTTGGTTTGGATGATGGCACAGGAGCCCCCTTGTGAATTTGTAATTATACCTAAGGCCATCTTGTCAGGGCTGACCAGCAGACCCTGAGTGACAGATGAACAGATTACTCTAACACACGTTTCTGTGAAAGAGAGGGCTAAGGCACTACTTGGATGTGTAAACTGCTATCGCCACCAAGTAGACCTGTTCGCCTAGCCTCCTTAGGTTTTTATTGTCATAACAGCTTGAACTGTTATGTTCAAGCTGTTATGACAATAAAATTAACTTCTAGATAGAATCAGCAAAGGTAAGCATCCTTGAAAAAGTATATGCTTCTACAAAGTCCAGTCTTTAAAGACTAAACAGAGATTCTAGAAAAACAAACTTGAGGGATCGGGCTAGTTTAGAAAAGTCAAGGTAGGGGCTGCCGCCCCTGACCTTTCAGAGAATCCTCCTTACAGACATTCCAACCAAGTCCCGTGCTTCCCCACAATCAGCCTACTTGTAGAACAGCTTTTCTCATCATTGACATTTCAGTATTTAACAAGGGAAGACTGTGGACTACCACTGAGAGTTTGTGGAGTAAATTTACTCAGGGTCCCTATGGGGATGATTACATCCTCCAAGAATGAGCTCATTGCAAGAAGGTGTCTTCATCAGCTTCCCCATCTGTAATGAAATACCACAGTCACATCAGTCTAAGGTTGGAAAGACAAATACTTGTAGGGTCTTGAATGGGAGATTTTTCTCCTTCTATGAGAATTACACTTGCAGCCTGGTCTACAGATGTTAATGTAGCCCGAGCTTTAGGAATCTGGCCAGGCTGTGTAAACCATGCTATGTTGGCAAGGGGAGGTGCCACTGTTGAGCATAAGGAGGTGAATAGGCAGGTGAATATGCTAGACTAGGACCTCTACCTTCTCTCTTCCAGTGGTTCATATCTACCCCATGTTTCCACAGGTCCTGATTACATTAGTATGACAGGATCCCACCGGAGACTGAGCAGTTCCTCCCCACCCATGGGTGTGAAGCAATGGACTCATTCTGGTGAGATGTCCCATTACAGATTCCACTAAACGGTCCCTTTTCCAGGGACAGTAGGGCTTGGTGTGCTCAGTATCAGAGATCATTCATCCAGTGCCAGCGTCGGGACTGTTGCTGTGTCCTTTGCTTTCCAGGTCTTGACCGTACGTCTTAGCCTGAGTTCCTCATCCAGCATATAGGGCAGTAGGCCCCACCGGTTGATTATTTAAAATGTGTACACGCCTGGGAAAGTATCTTTGTCTACCGGGCGTTAGTAATTTTTCCAGTTAATTATTATTACCTGTTGTTAGAATATCATTTTCCTGTTCCATCTACTCAGCTGCCTGTGGGTTATGTGAGAGGTGGAATTTCCATTTAATAACATGTTCTTTTGCCCATTTCTATGCATCATGCCCTTTAAGGTGTAACCCCTCCCCCCAGTTGCTATCTATTTGACAGCAGTTCCCATAGGTTGTACTTAACTGTTCTAGTCCCTTTGTAGCATCAGCTTGACTTGATCAACTGGCTTACATGGAAAGGCTTGTGTTAAACCAGAGGCGTTGTCGACACACACCAGAGCACATTTGGAGCCTTTACTCAAGGGAAGAGGGTTTATGTCCATTTGCTCTCCCCTTACCGATTGGGTACTTCAGTGGATGGCCCTGGATCCCCACGGCAGTTGTCTAGGGCCATGGTCACCAAACTGCGGCTCGTGAGCCACATGCTGCTCTTTGGCCCCTTGAGTGTGGCTCTTCCACAAAATACCAAAGCCTGGGTGAGTCTATTTTGAAGAAGTGGTGTTAGAAGAAGTTTAAGTTTAAAAAAGAAAGTTTAAGTTTAAAAAAGAAATTTCTCAAAAGAAATTTCAATCGTTGTACTGTTGGTATTTGGCTCTGTTGACTAATGAGTTTGCCGACCACTGGGCTAGGATATTGTTTGGAACAGACAGGACAGGATGCAACTGCACTAACCAGATCACTGCATTTTAAAGGCAGCCCTGCCTCCTTAGTCATGCACCATCCCATTCAGGCACTCCAGTGCCCACTCTTCCCATTCTGTCATGTCAACTGATAGGTCAGTTGCTAAAGCACATATTTTGCCAAAGCATGCACTTTCTGGGGATGTGGATGCCCTCCTAGGAAGATCATAGAAAACAGTGAGATTTGCCTCCCCCAGGCTCTTCTAGGCAGCCCAAATATTTTCCCACATCTCTTGTCCCCATAAAGGTTTGTTCATAATCATCCACCCCTCTCTGTCTCCCATCACCTGAGCCACGGGGTCACTCTATTTAACACAGCCCAGCAGTCAGTGTACAAAATCAGGGTTTGTGTGTAAGGTACTAACCAGACAGCTCTTAATTCAGCCCAGTGGCTAATGTGGTTTGTCCTCATTCCCGTCCAGATAGTATTAGTGGACGGTTAATTAGCAACTGATATATGGGCAGACAGAGCCATCAGTGTATCAGGATCCAGCAGAATTCACTCTATTTCTTCTTTACAGGATGAAGGGATGGGCACAGGGATGGGAGCTGTAGCATTTGGAGGATTTACATATTCAAGAGGACTTAGCAGTTGCTGCATCTCTAAAGATAGAGTACTATTTGACAGAGCACTCCTCTGCTGCTAACAGGCCTGCCACTTAGTCTGTGTGGGAGTCTGCCATGGCACAGCCAGGCTCCTGGGACATGTTGACCCAGCCCTGGATGGGAAGGCAAGTTCTTAATGTAACCAGCGGTTCCCTGGTAAGTGGCTCCACCTGCAGGAGCCCTGTGTGAACTGCACCATTCTGAAGTTGCTGTTCACAGAGATATTTCTGTTCTCTTCCCATTTCCACAGTTGGGATCAGAACCCAAAGGGCACTAATTTCTATAACGTCCATCTCATGTCTCCCAGGGTAAACAAACCTAATTGAAATGGTAACCCATGTGTGAGATTCCAAGGGCTTTGATCTGTTTGACTAGTTTTGTGGGGGCGTGGGGGGGATTAAGTTTTCTTGAAGGTAGCATACTGTTCTGTTCCCCAGTCCCATGAATGTCTGTCTCTTTGTAACTAAAAAGTGTAAAAGATAAAGCTATTGTGATAAATGAGGTGTAAATGTTCACCAGTATCCCCAAATCCCACAGATGCTTGTACCTCCCTCACATTTTTTTGGAATGAGGTAGGCTCATACTTTATCTATTACAGCCTCAAGCACAACCTGGATCTTACCCAATTGAATGACTCCCAAGAACTTTACTACAGTTCCTGATCCTTGGAGTTTTTCTGGCTCACTTCCCTCTCTTGTAGGTGGTCCAGCAAAGCCCGCAGGGTTTTCTATAATGGGGGCAAATCTTCACAGGTTAACATTATGTCATCAATGTAATGGGCCCATTTCACTGGGGCCAGGAAGAAAACAATGACAAAGCACCGGCCACCATTTCACAGGATGTGGTGAGGAAAGCCCATCATTGCTCCTCCCAGATAAAGGCAAAGTGATATTGGGACCCAACAGCTGAGGGATAATTAAAAAAAAAAAAAAGGCAGCATTGGCTAGGTCCCACACAGCATGATATGTTCCTAGGATCATAACCAGATTATTTACTATAGTGGCAATATTAGGCACAGTCACAGTAATAAGGGGCACTACCTTATTGAATTCTTAAAATGGATTGTCATTTTTCAAGAGCCCTCTGGGCTGTTAAAGGCCCTGTGTGCAAGGTACACAATGCCCTCACTTGGGGGAGCTCTTGGATAGTTTTCCCTATTTCCTTATGTGCTCCAGGTGATAATGTCTAAAGATCACCACTTTTCCCTCTGGTGGCAAACTAACTGCCTCCCAATCGGCATTGCTCTCTGATTCAATTACTTCTAGTCATAGGCAGAATTCCCAATACAGGTTTATAAAGTCTGGACTTGCGAAATATTGATACTTAGAATGCTTTTCAAAATTGGAGAGATGAAGACTTCATACTCCCAGTGGGGAAGAGTGCCCAATTTGCAGAATCCAGGGAAATTTTCTGACCATTACACACTAGCTTCCATAGCCATTGGTAGCACTGAGGGGGCCAGAGAATTTCTGAAGATTACCATTATTAGAGTGCATTTAGCACCAATGTCAACAAAGTAGTTACCCTGTGTTGATTTCTGGGGACCAATGGGTGGTGAGTTCCTCATGTGGCCTCTGACTGCCCACTGTGGCCTTTGGCCTCCACCTGAGGACAATCTCAGCCTTTCTCCTATACTGAAGGGGGTCTGGGGTTCAGGAGCAAGGAGTAGTGTTGAGAAGGTGAGGCAACAGGGGATTTTTTTTAGACAATAAAACAATTCTGTAGGAAAGTGTAATGGCCAATAAATGACATTGTGCATTTGTCAAAATGTATAGAGTTTTACAATACATACAGTGAACCTTGATTATACAAAATTTTAAAAACCCATTTAAGAGTCTTGGATCCCAAGGAATGAAGACTGCAACTTGAAAATCAAGTGTATTACAAATGTATACTATGGAATGCAATGAGGCATCCAACAAATGTAAAATGAAATCTCAAAGGGCTCCCCTGAAGCTGTTGGGGTGTCCTCTGGGGAGCCAATGATATAAGGCAGAACTGTTCTGGTTTTAAGCACTGCATTAGGCTGACAATCATTTCTTTTGAGGTGCCTGTGGCAACCAGATGGTGCCACATTTGCTTTCAGTTATGCTCACAGGGCCTTTCGTCCATGCTGCTCTTATCGCCCCCTTTTCTTTCACTCTGTCTGAGTTCCAAGTCCTTCCCATAGCTTGGATGTGCTCGGATATTGGTGTGTTTTCCTAGATCTGCCTCCAGTTTCCTTACCCTGGCTTCTGCCTTTAGCTGGGCATCTGTAGTCAATCAAACCACCCATGAGAGTGTTTAGCCTACAGCTGTGGCCATGTGCTCTCCTTTCTTGCTGCAGAGTGCAATGTGTAGTTTTTCAAACAAATACATGAAGCCAGCTGGTATTTTGGGGGTGGCCCTGGACTCTCACTGTGGTCGACACACGTCTAACTTATGGGCCACTCCTCCCACATAGAAGTAGATGGCCAATCCAAGATTTCCCCACAGATGCCTCTTTCCCAAGGCCCATTTCTTCAGTCTCTTGCGTGGCTCACCAATTGTTAGTACTTGCTCACCCAGGGAAAAGTCCCAAACTGAAAATCTACTTCCTCAGCAGAAAGCAGGGAAAGAATGAATGAAGGTGGGCCACTCCAGTCTGGCAATTAGTAGAGGAAAGCTTTCTTATGATGCACATCTTGGGTGGCTGTAAGATGAAATGAATACCAAATACGCTAAGCAGAAACTAGAGAATCATATAGGGGGCAGGAAGAGAATAGTGTACTAGCATGTAACTGCTACCAGGTTCGGGAAATTGCTTTACATGCTTGACCAGGTCAGAACAACCAGATTGTTTTCTGGATCCAGCCTGTACCAGGAGGTAGGAGAGAGATGCTGGTTTGTGTTAGAACACAAGTGATTAATATCAAAACAGTCTTCAAAGGAGTTCCTTCTAACCCAGGTCCAGCTTGCAAGTCAGACTGCCCTGGAACAGTCTATCCTCCACACACCCAAAACTGAAAGCAACCAAGGTGCCTTCAATTGGTGAATGATTAAACAAAGTGCATGTCTCTACAACAGAATATTTTCAGCCATAAAAAGAAATGAACTACTAAACTACAAAGAGACATGAGTAAACCTTAAATGCATATTGCTAAGTGAAAGAAGCCAGTTTAAGAGGTCTACAAATAGGCCTTCCTCCCCCAAATCCATAACCTTAATCCATAAAACAAACAAACAAGCATCAAACAAATTCTAATAGAGGGTAATTCTATGAAATACTTGACGAGTACCTCTCAAAACAGTCAGTCATCAAAAACAGGGGAATTCTGAGAAACTGTCTCAGTCAAGAGGAGCCTAGGGAGACATGTCAAATGAATATAAAGTGGGATCCTGAAAGGGACCCTTAAACAGAAAAAAATATTAGGTAAAAACTCAGAAAATGTCAATAAACTGGCACATATTAACTACTAAAAATTGCCAATCTGATAAAAAGGAATCGATATAACTTTGATTCATTCCCA